GTGGGGAAGTCCGGATCGTATTCAAGGGCTCCAACGACGCCCAGAATGATATCGTCCGTCACCAAATGCTCAATGATGGTGTTATCGTTCATCAGAATCAGGGCCTTCATAATATTGCACAGGCGATGTAGATCTGGTAGACTCTCCAGGTCCTCTGCCATCTCAACCAACGGTATTAATTTGAGTAGGTACTCTTCACGGATCAAAAACTTTGCTAGTGCTTCGCGCCCGCCCTGCGTAATGCTCGCATGTCGTATACTCTGTTCGATCTCGTCCAGATTGTTCAATTCGGGAGGATTGAGGGTAAAGGAGCTTGAGATATTTTCAAGGGCATCGTCCGAAAGGCCATCATCTGTACATCAACTCAGCCAAGTAGACTTTGCGGAACCGCAGTTGACACTTACCAGGAAGGGTCAATAACTGTTGCTGGACTTGATGTACGAAATCCCTGGAGCACTATTAGACCATCGCGCGCCCGAAATGAACCATGTGCGTACCATATGACTGCACAGCCTTCTGCCTCCTGGAAACTGAGGGCCATGTCGGTGCCATTGGTCTCGGTCCACACAATGAGTGTGTCTTCGAGCGCGTCAGCAGACCAGAACTCTTCCACCTTGATTCACAGAGAATGTACCTTGCTGTTTCTGATATCCATCATCTTTGACGATACGAGTTTCTAACAACATGCGATCCGGTTGGTCTTCGGACTCGACGTAGATGCGCGGTTCATCCTATATATACCGTGCGTTAGCGCGCGTGCCCTTTTCCTCGCCAGCGTCTCGATATCCAAACGGAAACAGAAGATTTCGAGGCGTACGTTAATGAATTGGCCGGTGCAAAACCCAGTTCCTCTGTCAAACCAGTCATTGTCGCGCAGCTCATAAACTTTTACTCTCTTCTTGTCGTTGGCAAGCGGCGCCTGCATTGCCATGACTGAAGGAGAGAGAACAAGGAATGAACATCAGCAGGCAGCGATTCTGTTACCGGCTGCCGACTTTCTGTTTGGGAGGGTGGCGAGATGCGCAAAGTTGAGCGAGTTTCGTGTGCTGGAGATACAGAACAGGTGGCGCGGGGTGGATCTGCGGTCGAGGCAAGGTTGCGCCCGACAGGAAGGAGACAAGCGCGCAAAGCTCCAGGGCCGCGATCAAGAATCGGATGGATACAATAGATCAACGGGCGTCTATTGCAGTGAGCCGATAGAGGTGATGTTGAGGAGGGTGAGATGGGATAGACGAGGGAATGACGTGCATCCAACGAGTTGGGATGCCTTGTCGCGATAATTTTGTGACAAGAGAGATGGAAGTCCGAGAGGGAGCAAAGCCTGAGCCTGAGCCTGGGCCCGGGGCTCAAGTGCAGGGCTCTTTTGCGACCACTGACCCGTACGGGATGCAGCTGGTGGAGCGACGGCTTTGCCGAGACTGACAGCTGCCCACCACCGGGAAGTTTACAACGACTTAGCGTGCAAGGCGTGATGATTTGGGAAGTTGGAAAGATAGGGCGAATGGTCCACCCTGCGGTAAGGGGAGTTGACTGTCAGAGAGTCAAAGTCGATTCTTCTTGTTCTCGTGGATTCTTAGTTCCGTTTCAATATCAAATGGCAGCAGTATCGGTGCAACAAATACATGCAGAATACTCGGTAAATGGGAGAAATACAAGTACAAGACGAGGGCGCAGGTGACAGGCAAAGGCTTGCGTGGGCTTAGTAGGTGGGAAGCGGGAGGCGGGAGGCGTGTATCGATGCAAGAGGTGGGAGGGAGAAATGCCAGGAACCCGGAGCTGGGCGTTGGTGGCTGCTCGATGGGCGTCCCCCCATCCCCTTCTCACACCCCCGACAACCCCAAAAGTCGATGTGATGGATTCATCTTGCAGCCTCGGGCACCACTTTGGCCCATGTGACATCATGCAGAGGGCGCCGCCACCACCGCAACTAGTACCTAGGAGGCAGCTAGCCACATTTTTAGTTACATATTCATTATTATTAGTAGCATTGGCAGCTGGTGGAACATCTATATCAAGGTGACGTGGGGATCTCTGGCAGCTTTCATCTGCACCTGCGACTCCTTTACCATGATTTACGCCGGGCATCAAAATGTCAAAATTACCATCATCAGAGAGTCTTTTGGAGTCTCATGCACATTACCCAATCCAACACGCTAATATATAGCCAACGCTCTCCCCCACCATCTGTCACCTCTCCACCATCCGATTAATCGCGAGCCTTCCTGATTCCACACCCACCACCCCTCACCCTTGCCGCCTGGCCCAAACCCTATTCCGCGGAAGAAACTGATGGGAACTGGCTCAAAGAGCCACAGTCCAGAGGTTGCAAAGTCGTTGGCCAATAATGACCCTGTCAAATAAAGATATAACACCACCACGAGCGCATTCGCCGTCTGGCCTATACCGGATGGCAGATTCTTGACCCACGAAGCGTGTCTGTATATGAGTTTGACTATGAATGATTGTAAGAGAATGCCAACGCCTTGTAGGAGAAAGAACAATAAGGGGCCAGAGAGTGGATGCGAGCCGTTGAGTGAAAATGTTGTGTAGCTAGCACTCGCATGGATTGAGCCTGACAACGTGAAAGCGACCAGAAGCTGAACGGTTCGAGCAACGTTGCCGCGAGCGTCCAGCTTCAGTCCCTCAATCAAGACTCGGGATGGTTCTGAGATGCCAAACCGAAACATCTGGTGCCAACATCTGCCCCATAACCCTGCTAGCCCAGAGTACAGGACCGATGTCGATAACGATTGCCAATAAGGTGGATACATCCATGTTTCCGTGAGAGGTGCCTTTGTAATCTTTGTGAGGTCGACAAAAGTGGGAAGGATGGTAGCGAAGAACAACGGGCTGAGGCTGAAGATTAACGTCAACGCAGTTACGACTCCACACATCGTAATCCACAGCCGAACAAAGCGAGTTGCAACTGGCACAGCATTGTCGATGTGAGCAAGCCAAGTCCAGGGTGTAGACGATTCCAACGGTGCCACGCCCAGAAAGTATGGGTCCGTGATCATGACTGCCTTCAGGAAATCGAGGAAGAGATAGTTGATGATAAAGCCTCGTAAGGCTCTCAACTGATGGGTTCGCGGAAAATGCGAAGCAGCCATCGATGTCTGCCTTTCGTCACCGCGAATCCCAGTGGCAGTAGTACTTTGGGACTTGTCTCGCGGCATTGATGGGTCAATCTGCCCTATGGTTGAGATTCGATGTTCCCATCCCACTGCTCGGAAACTCGTCATAAGGTCGACCGTCCAGTCGAGGACGTGGAACAAGTCCGAATTGTAAGGATACCCTTGCCATACCAGTTCGTATGGCTGTCGACAAGGTTGTTCAGGCTGAGAGGTCGGGGTGGAAAATGAAGACGAGCTGCCCACCTTCCGCTCCTTCATATTGCTCATTTGAGGTCGCTCGCACTGCGAAGATGTTGCTGTGAACTTGAGCCACTCTGAATCTTCACTCTCTGCTTTGACCACTCTCTTTTCAAGCCTTCTGAAATCTCGCCCCACGTCGTTGCACAAGAGAAGAGCGCCAGACATGATGACACCCCAGGCTGTCATTAACCCAATGCCATAGCCGGCCGCAAGCCAGAGTGTCCGGCGATAGCATGCCACATAGGCACCATGGGCAAGGACCGAAACGAAAGCGACACATCGGACTGCTCTGGCCAGCCTTGGGGACAGTCTGGGGCTGATTGCGATAGCAAAGATTAAGTATAAGGCTGGGAGTGAATCCCACGGATAAAGGAAGGGAGTATACTCATCTGCCGCTATTACCAAATCATATTGATGTTGCCGCTCTGCTAGAATTTGCCGATAGAGCGAAACATGGTTGTTAGTCATAGCTGGCCAGGATATGGGAGTGAAAGTACATGAGAAGAACAATAGAAGTCAACTCGATGTTGGTGGTGTCTTTGAAGTCATGACGTCTTGAGAAGTGATTGATCTGACCGACCATCCACAAGGATTGACATTGGGGGCATCGTTCTGTTGAGCAAGACGTGTCCTGAGAACAACAGGTCAACAATCCCTTGAACCAGTAGGACCTAGTCTTTCATCTGTTTGGTACGATCACGCTGGAAAGTGACTGATGAACAGCATCCAGTCCCCCATTGTGGCGCCCTGTCGTCCAAATCAGGGTTGGGTCTGGGATTCTGGAGAAATCCACCTTCAGTAACTTTTCAATCTTGCCGAATTCCACGTGGAATCCAACCCATGCTTCTTACAAGTCCTGGGTCCATGCTGTCGGTCCGGACTGCCCTCGACTGTAAGTACAGTTCGGCGTTTCTCTACCATGAATTCGATAGAAGGGCTGCCCCCTTCATGCTACTATGCCCCCAGTTTCATCACCGCATCTGAAGAGGCGCAGATCCTCAACGAACTCCAGAAACTGCCCGAGTCTCGATGGACTGTGCTCACCCACCGGCGTCTATTATCTCTACCCTCAACCTTGACCGGTCCTTCGCGTGACACTCTCCTTGCTGCCCCCATGCCAGCGTACCTCGATGTAATCGTCGCCCGTCTTCAACAAGGCAAATTTTTTGAGAGTTCCACACACAAGGCTCCGAACCATGTCCTGATCAATGAATACAAACCAGGAGAAGGAATCATGCCCCATGAAGATGGTCCTGCGTACGACCCAATTACGGCGACGGTGAGCTTGGGGAGTCACACTGTGCTCGAAATCTACCGAAAGACTGAAGCTGGCGAACGAGAAGCGAAGCCTACATGGCGAATCTTACAAGAACCGCGGAGTCTGCTGGTGACGACGGGCGACATGTATATCAACACGCTACATGGCATTTCAGAACTCCAGGCGGATGAGAATCTGAACAGCGAGCAGATCATCAACTGGAATCTCCTCGGTGACCAACAACCCTACGAGAGCGGTCATGCTCAGCGGCAAACCCGCATTAGTCTCACCTTGCGTGACGTGATCAAGGTTGCCAAATTGGGGGGTGCTTTGAAGTTCATGAACAAAAGGCCCTGATGCTGTCTCTCCTATTTCTGGCTCTTTGACAGGATCTCTCCCCGTGGTGCCGGCATCATGGCTCCTTCGGCGGGCTGGTGTTTACTCTTGAAATGGTCCACCATCTCGGCCATTGTTACCCATTCCACGCCCTCGTGTTTGTTGATGTGCTCAATTAACCTTTCATGCATGAGCAAGACATGCGGTCTACCAGACACATCCGGGTGGATGGTCATAGGGAAGTAAAATCCCTCTTTCTCTTCTCTGTAAAAATAGTCGAAATGGTCCTGGGAACGGCTCAGAATTGCGGACTTCAGCAGGACAAAGCTAGCAACTTACCCGCCACAAATCTTCAACGTCTCTTGGATTCACCCATCCATGACTGTTTGGCACCTTTTTCTACACGAGTCTGTCAGCTTGTCTGAAGAGGACATAGCCAGGAACCATTCTTCAGTCAACTGCAAGAGCGGTTGAAGCCGGGAGGACCTACCATGAACATCATTGGAGGCAAATCATCCAGGTACCAATTGGCTGGAATCTCCACGAGCCCCGTTTCCTGGCCCGTGGTGAAGGGCTTCATCCACTCAGCGGCTGTTTTGTTATAATCGATCTTTGTCCAGTTGTCTCCTGTCCGGAGATAGTATGCCTGACAGTCATGATGGCTCATGCTGTGGTCATACTCAATGCCATAATGAAGCAATAATTCGGTGGCTTCTCTGCTGACCTCCCACCACGGAGCCACGATTCCTCGGGGCGTCTTTCCATGACAGAAATCTGTGAGCATTCGGTAGGTATGGTCGAGCACGTCGCGTTGCTGCTCAAATGTCATATCAACGGGATTCTCATGGCTGTAACCGTGCAAGCCTATCTCATGCCCGGCGTCACGGATCATAGCACATTCTTCTGGAAATGTTCTGTTAGGGCGACGGCGTCAGCTCACGAGGCAGGTGAAGCATCGGGTCCCCCTCGGAATTCAACTCCAAGTTCACACAGAGACTTACTCTAGACTATGGCCGGGAATAAACCAAGACGCCTTGATGTTGTATTTTTCAAACAGCTTCAATAGCCTTCTCACGCCTTGCGTGCCAGCGAAGTAACCTACTCGGACGGAACATGAAGGGTCTGTCTCAGTTCTCTCTGCAATAAATTGTCCCTCGCAGACCTTGTGGAAAGTGGGTTTTGTGTGATGCTAGCCCAGCATATTTGGCGTCGACGTACCTCGAGAGATGTCACTGGTCGAGTCTTCACCCTTGTATGAACCCAACCATCCTGCTATTGCGTCTATATCAACGCCATAGGATACCAGGATCCGTCTCTTGGGCTTTGCAGAGTCCTCTGACATTATGTCAATTGATGTTTGCGATTATTTCCCTATCGTTGACCGCGACTCGCAAAACACAAAAGTCTATACAAGACAAATGCACCGCACGCAAGAAGTATGGATGGGGTTCGCGCTCAGCGGTTGAGTCCCGAAGAGAACGGATGAAGGACCGATAACATATCTTCTGCTCCGACTCTGGAGATGTCCGCGACGTTCTTTTCCATGACGTTTAGAGAATATCCGAAGACTCGTGCATAATATCCACTACCATGTCTAGGACGGGTCCAGGGGAGGATGCGGAGAGGCATGATCCACCCGGCCACTGGGGTACGAGTTCCCCATCACGGCTTGTCACTTCTGCTGGGGCCGACAGCCTTGGCCAGAGATGTTCTCTTGAACAGGCTGCTCGGATTTCCATATACCTCAGGGTGGTAGAGATCAACGAGACTCCAGTTCGATTCAATATCAAAACAGTCCGTAAGCAGGGACGGATCGCACATGCAGCAGAAGGACCCGGTTGGCTCTAATCATGGATGACAAGATTCGTGACCGGATCTGTTAGAGTATCGTGGAAGATTCTTTGCAGAAAGACACCGCTGTCAGGGAGGTAATGCGCAAGAAGAACTCGAGGCGACTAGGGCACGATGTTACCGCGAACAGAACGGTGAGCTCTCGATGCGTGCAGTTCATCACAATATGCTGCCTGAAAGCTAATGGATGAACCCAACAGTGTGGCTGATGAAGTCTTGGATGTCTTCCTCTGCGTAGTCGTTCTGCCACTTGCCCAGCTCAATGGTGAACCCTCCTTGCAGTCCCTCATTCGGACCATTACCTCCTTGTCGGTGGTCATCATCTGCTTTGGAGACCGAGGGAATTAATTTGACGGGCAAGAATCTCGGGTAAGCGCCTTGTCGGTCCCACGTGTCCAACCGGGTGAAAGCGACCTCTAGATAGTCCAATTTCTTGGTCTGTCCTTCTCCTTCTGCACGCTCCATCAGCAGCCCATACAAGTTTGCGACCGCCTGGCATAGTTGATCCTGTTTCAGCGGCGGCGGGTTCGTCCCCATGGAGGTATATTTGTCTTGGAAGCAAGATTTCTCGGTAGGAACCTCGATCCAGAGTCTGATCGTCCGCATTGTGGGTATGGACCGGATCAATGTTGACAATGCCGTGGTTGTGGGAGTGGGAGACGAAAATGGCGTAACGGCAAGGTCGTCGTTGTCACCCTGGGTCGGGCCAAACGCGGGAATGTCCATTTCCAGATGCGTGAGTGATGTCAAATGCATTACCATGAGCTGGATTTGGTCTGGGTTCAGATACAACAGTCCCTTGGGTCGGGTGGAGGTGAAAACAGGGAGGCTGTGCAGCTTGAGCACCTGCAGCGTCGGAGCGTGTAGGTTGACTATGGTCGGGATGAGCGAGGGGAGTTGTCCCTGATAGTCGGTCGCGTAGATGGACGCGAGGTTTCGCAGGGATCCCATCGCAGTGGTCGCCACGGCCATCTTCCGCCTCATCCATTCCTCCTTGCCCGTGCCCTCGTGGGCCGGGTAGTATGGCACGAGAAAATGCAGCCGCAGGAATCTCTTGTCGCGGTAGTAGGACGAGTAGACGACGCTGCCAAAGTTGTTCCTGTCGATGTGGGTCTGCGCGAGCGGGAACGAATTGAACAAGTCGAAATCGAGTTCGGGCAGAGTGACGGCGTCGTCGGACATTTGGCGTTTGAGGACACGCAGATGCACGTTGTGGTGTTGTGGCTGTCGGAGAAGAGAGAGGATGTTGGGGGGAATGGGCATGTTGACGCACCATCTGTGCTCAGGAGATGGGTCAGTGTTTGCTTCTCAGAAGAAGGGGCAGGGAGATGGTTGCTTTTAGAGATATCCTCACGACAAGGTGCGAAGGCTCTTGACGCTGTTGAGAATGCGCTCGAGTGCTGCGGAATCCAGCACGTTGGGCAGAATCGCGATAATCTCGTCGTTGTTACTGTTGTCATCATCCTCCTCGTCATGGTCATGGTCATAGTCGTCATCAGCATCCTCATCATCATCCTCGTCGTCGTCGTCATCCTCATCAAACCGCCGGCGATAGTCATATTCTCGCATCGCAGGCGATCCTATGCTAATCTCCTCAACGCGCCGGGCGAGGTCGCTGTCCGGATTCGAAAGCTGCTGAACCATCTCTCGGAGTTGTCCATTCTCGGACTCGTCGTCTTCTTCGTCATCGGCGACGGGGAAATGATCCTGTTTCAGCAATGCTGTGACCTTGTCGGTGGGCAAGAGGACGCGGTCGTCCATGACTGGGAATATGATATGGCTGCCAACACGGGAGGGGATTCTGAGTGATGGTGATGGAGAATAATAAAGATGAAGACAGAGACAAAAGAATCCCTCACTCTCACTCTCTTGTCTCCTCTCGACAAGATTCTCTCACCGCATCTTGCTAGCAGAGTGGTATTTTGCATATGCATATCCCATATCCATGTCCTTAGCCATCTACCAAGAAACTACGAGGTAGATAGATACCTAACAATCCCCGGTGACCGAATTGCTGTCGTTTACCATGAGCTTGTATTCTCAGCCCCATCAGTGGTTGGTGGATTTGCTATTCCTGTCACCGCTGGCGCCAAAAAGGAGGAGGAATTATTACCTCAATAAGCACTTGGTTGGAGAAAGCAGAATGACAGAGCGTCTGATGGGGCTGGGGATAATAGTCCCTTGGTGGCCCTTGCAGATCTCTTGTTTCCTTTCCATGATGTGATGATGGTCTAATCCCATGCAATGCAAACAATCATAATATTAATATGATGCCCAAAAAGCAGAGAGATGAATCTCATCCATCAAGAGTCTGGACCAGGCCTGTCACTCTTTACGCCTTTACCTCCCTCTTTACCTCGTACTACTCCTCCCAATCTTTCTTCTCCCTTTGCCGCTCACCCGAAAAAGCGCAAACTATTTGATAAATGGGCGATTATTTAATCAAGCGTCTTTGCTCACTCACTGCAAGCACCAATATGGGCATGGCGCTTCTTAATTACTTGTGACGGATTCCTGCCGCAGTTCATGCCGGGGCCCCAAGTTGCCCAAACCTTTGCCTGCTGAGCTTGTCCAGCTCGTCCATTTGTTCTGCTTGTCCTGCTTGTCGAGCTGTCGATGCCTCGAGTCAATCAATCACCTTCAACCCCTGTCAATGCCGTCTCCGCCTCTTGAATCCTTCTGGCGATTGCTCCCGATCTTTCCCACGAAACATGTCACTGGGCATGTGTCAACACCACCAATGCCAGTCCCTCCGCCAGTCCCTGCATGCTGGATTTCTTTTCTCCGGTCCCGCCGGCTCCCTTAGAATGGCAGAAGGCACATGAAAGGGTCTCGTCTCCCTCGTATTTCCCCTCGGCATCTCCATCACCTGAGCCCGTCCTCGATCACCGACAAGTCATAGCTCTTTCCTCTCTGTGCAGTCTCATTGTAACCTCATTTTTCAGCCGCTTCTCTGTGTCCAACGACTTTTTCGCGGGAGCATATAAATCAGGGCCAACAGCTGCCGCCGAGTCCTAACAACCACGCCCGCCCACCTTGGGCCGCGCACGGCGCGACACCAGCCCAATGCCTTGTGATCTCGCTTCTACCTGATAGCCTCCTGTCGCGGTTAGTCACCTGAGCGAGAAAGAGATAGGAGAAACACAACAAGAATTCAATGGCTTAAGCCACGTGGTCGACAATGTCGAAAAGATCATGTCCGAATATAACCAGACCTTCTCTCCAGATCAGCTACGAGCCATCGATATCGCCGCCCGCATATCATCATGTCTGTCCATATCAGGCTCCTGCTTCACCATAATCAGCTTCATCAGCCACCCGCCGCTCCGAAAACCTGTGAACCGTCTTGCCTTTTCCATCGCCGTTGCCAATATCTTTGCGTGTTCGGCGTATAGTTGGGGCATTCATCCGATCAATGCTGGGAGGGAATCTGCGTGGTGTCAAACCCAGGGGTTTTTCATTACTTGGTTTGTGATGACGGATCCGTTACTTGTACGGCATGACCCACCGTCGTCGTTTGGTTACCACCTTTTTGTTGATTGAGCTAACAAGGGTTTTGTTGTGTTTAGGTCATGATCATGGCGTTCAACGTTCTTCTCACTGTTCGAACTAAACGAAATGCCACCGAGCTCAAAAGGGTCGACGTTTATGCGATATTGCTGGCTTTTATTCTTCCGTTCATTCCGGCTTTGGTTTTTTTGTGCTGGAGGCCCGATGGCAAGTCTGTCTATGGGCCGGCGACCATGTGGTGCTGGATCGCCAAAGAATCCCAGATCTTGCGTCTGGTAGCCTTTTATGTGCCCATTTGGTGAGTTTGGCATGGTGTTGAGGGCGATGGCAGAGTGTCTCAGTCGCAACCTAATTACATACTGACTGGGCCTGGAATAGGTGCTTCATCCTAGTCGCCATATTCCTCTTCGCTCTAAGCGGCAAACAAATTCTTCTGGTGCGCCGCAAGGTCAAATCGGCCAAAGCCGAATGTGTACTGTACCAAGACGAGCCAGGCCCAAACGCATGCCCACCTCCACGTGAACGCCGCTTTTCGTCCTTCGCCAGGGCCTTCATGTCGTCCACACCATCGGCGACGCGAGACTCGGATAGGTCCAATGTGCCCTACAGCAACAACAACAACGCAGGGCCAGAGCCGTCATCGCCCGAGTTCAAGGGTTTCGAGCCGCTCGCGCCCATCCACTCGCGCGAGGTCCTGGATCTGGAGTCTCAGTCTCACCATCCCCCGTCCTCGCCGCCGTCGCACGAGTCGTCGATCGTTGCCACGCCGGGGTCTCCGACAGTCACCCTCGACCGTTCTGGTTCCGACCAGACGATGCTCCGTGGGGTGGCACCGGACCGATTCCCGCCGCGGCGGAGGTCGTCGTCGCGCTTTGATCGGATACACTGGAAATACGCCAAGTTTGCTTTTTTGTGCACGATTGTCTTGTTCATTACCTGGGTATGTTGAAAGAGCCGTACAGTACTCCGAATTCTTTACCCTTCTTCCCTCCTCCCGTCCCCCCTTTCCCGCGAGAACAAAATAAGATGCCCCAATGATAACCAATGAATCACGACGCCGACACAAATACTAAGTACCACGTTCCAAGCACTAATCTTATCTGCTGTCAACAGGTCCCCATCAGCGTCAACAGGGTCTACAACAACTTCATCTCCCCGAACCACCAAATCTACGGCCTTTACCTGACCTCGGCGGCGTGCATCCCGCTGCACGGCTTCGGCAACTTTGTCATTTACACCACCACCAGCTGGGCCGAGTGCAGAGACTTTCTGACCTGCTCGACTCATCGTAGTTCCCGACGCCCGTCCTCCTCGTCGGCTATTGTCGTTCCTGTCGGGATTGGCCATGGCGCCACAACGGCCGTCACCGTTCCCGTGGGAGGCGGGGGAGACCGCGCTCGCGAAGGTGCAGGCCACGATGGTGAGGAATTGGCAACGACGCGCAGGCTCGGGTTGATCCAGAATAATGTGCTCAGGGGTTGGGCAAAGCGTGGTCACGATATGTGGGCGACACGGAGACAATGACAGTGCTCGTTCGAGACCCGACCGTAACGTGGCATATATGTCCCGCCCAGGTCGACTGAGCGGCGGCCGCGCACTTAATTTGGTACCATTACCATACACCAAATATCACATGGGCTAGACCCGACTTGTGGGACATATACCCCGTACGGGGTACTCGGCTCGGTGCACATATCATATATACCAGTTACATTATAGCATTTATAGCATATATACCAAAGATAGAACAGCCGGCGCAACGAAAAAAAAAGAAGAAGAAAGGAAAATTGAAACCCCGTCAGGGAACCACTACCTAAATAACACCGATCGACAACCACCGGAGCACCACCCACTAAAGCAGCCTCCCCAGTCAAGTGAAAGGTATTCCACGTCTGGCTGGCAGGGGGGCCGATTAAAAGTAATAGGTTAGATTCAATACCAGAGAAAAGCGGATGATGGGTTGGGACTGGGACTGGTAACCGTAACGGTAACTGTAACAACAACATGTGAACTGGATCGTACCTTAAGGATACTAGGAACCAAGAAAACACACGAGTCATATAGCCAAGCAGGAGAGGAGAGGAGAGTGAAGTTGTTTCCTAGCTTGGGTGGCTGAAAGAGCCGCATATTTTTTTGATTGCTCTGTTACAGACAGGTAGACTTTCATCCTTGTTCTGGCCACTAGCCTCTTCTTCGAAAATTGCCCGTTGCTTTCTATTTGGCTGGAACCCTATGGGTATATTTTCTCTGTGTTTCCACCGCATCACCTGCTCTATTACGCTTCATGCTCGGTATCCCGACTCTCACCGTGATGATGGTGGTGGTGATGATGATGGGTGTGCTTCTTCGCGTGCAGGTCCTCCACCGGTGCATCAACAACATAGTTCATCGTCTTGCGCAAGTCACCCAGGAACAAGCACGCGATGCACGCCAGTGCTCCAAACGGCGCGGCGATGATGTAAACCACTCGGATCGAGTCTGCGAACGCTTGCTTGAGCGCCGCAACGCCAGCGGCGATGATGGTCGGAGTCACGCCCGGGATGCTACTCAGCGCCGCCGTGTTGCCCGCCGCCAAAGCTTCCACAAACGTCGGGATAGAACTGGCTGGGAGACCTGCTTTTGCGGCCGCTCCTGCGACGCCGTTGGGTATGTTAGTGCCAAGTCGCGTGTTCAGCGCAGCTGCATAGATGGCCGTGAAGACTGTGGCTGCCACTGCTCGAGACGAGGTGGTTACAGCTGTTGCTGTTGCTATCAGGCTGTGTGGCGTGGACAGCTGGACACCAGCAATGATCAGGATGAGCGGTGCTCCAAACCCAAAGCCCGCGAGACCACTCATCACCACGGCAGTAGTGCTATCCTTTGGTTGAATCGTAGTCCATCCAATGATGGCGCCAGTAAAGATCAAGTAACCCAGGAAGAGTGGTTCTCGGATTGTGCGGAATCGGGTGCTTGCATAACCCCAGATCACGGTGGAGATGCCGCCCGCAACCCAGAAGGGCATTTCTCGAGACACGAGCAACAGTGGATCCGTTTCGAAGAGCGAGGTTGTTCTGCAAGCATGTGATTAGTCTCCGACCATACGACCATAGTCTGTGCTGGCACGGGGCAGGGCAAGACTTACAAGACAGGGTAGAAGACGATATACGAGAAGAGCAGGATGCCTTCAATAAAGATCAAGCCCACACAGATGGCAAATGTGCGGCCCGCTGCTCTGCCCCCACCAAACAGAGTGTGGTTCATAATCCCAGTCTTGGTGCCTTTCCACTCGTAGATGCCGAAGGCGATGAGGATGACAATGCCCACAACGAGAGTTGCGAGTGTCCGCGAATTCGTCCAAGGGTACAAGTTACCTCCGAGATTGAGACCAGTCAGGAACAGTGACAAACCGGCTGTAAGAAGACAACAGCCCGGGATATCGATGTGGCCCAGTTTCTGCCAGAAAGAGAGGTGGTCGAGCCTGGTGTGTCTCTTTGGTGGTCTATAGCCCACAAGGATACCTGCAGCGGTGGCTCCCCAGAGGCCAACTTGGATCCACTGATACTGGTCAGTATTCGCTGTAGTGCATAGTAATCTTGGGACATACGTAGAACTTGCGCCATCCGTCCTCTGCATTACGTTTCGTCAGAGCGCCGATAGACATAGGCCCGAGAATAGCACCTAAAGATGCAGCAATGTTCATGCATGCTTGTGCCACTACAAACACATCAGCTGAGATATGGAGGACTGGTCATTATACTTACTCGGCCTCCACTTCCTCGGTAAGATTTCACTGGGAACACAGTATGCGAGCGGCACTGCTGCGAAACCAAAGCCGATCAACGTTTGGCCCACGATCAGTCTGTAGATATTGCCTGAGCCCGGAGAGATGGCAGCCCCAATAAGGGAGATGAGGCATGAGCCCACGAGGATGCTCTTTCGAGCTTGGAAGGTGTCTGAGGCGAGAGAAATGACAGGGCCTAGGACAGCCTGGACAAGTGAAAGAGAGTTGGGGACCCAGGTCTGAGTTTTGGGATTGTTGAGACTGTCGCCGATGAAGTCGAGCTGTGATGTAGACATTCAGCACAGTTCCCCCCGGTATCAACTGGGACAAATACATACCACAGCCGGAGGGCCCTGCAACGCCACAACTTGAACCATATTCAAGAGAAACATGGAAAAAAGGGCAATATAGGTTCTCGCATGAAGCTCTGGCTCGACATCCACCTCGTCGTAGTGGAGGTTCTGGTCATTTCCGTCAACGTCTTCAATCTGCTTCTCACTCGACAGTTCTCTCTTGTCCTCGACTGAGACCAGCTCGGCTTCATTGGGCTGAGCAGCCTTGCCTAAACCGCCCTCAACAGCCGCGTGAGAAGTCATATCTGCGTGAAAGTCGGCGGTGGGTTTTCTCGAGTGCTCGATAGGTAGTGTAGGTCACATCGATCGTGTCACTCCACAGGCAGGGAGGGACGAGTAGCGTCTTTGTAGTTGTAAGGCGTTCTGTAGACCGACATTACCGCGTGCCAATGCTGGCCGTGACGATCCCCTCTGATAGGGCCGGGATATCCGATCTGCATGCGGGGAACAGGGATGAAGGTGGACATTTGGGTGACTTGGTTGGACTTGTGGTGGGAAGTTGGAGGGCGATCAACAGAGTTGGTGGCTGTTTTGTGGGACGTTGATGGCAGCCACCAGCAGATACGAAACTGCGACTTTTGACACCAACTTGGCAAACCTGCCAATGGCCACCTTTTCTACCTGCGCCCTTCTTATCAGCGACCCTACTTGGTACAGGTACCACCATGATGTGCTGGCAGGCCGTCAAAGCCGCAGTTTATTGAACTTCTGCAATATACTGAGATATGAGCCCAACAGCAAACCCCTGTGCCCCTATACCTAGTACACGCCTCAAGGGGCCGACGGTGGATCCCAGTTGACTGGTCCGGATCACCATTTCCACCACCACCACCGAATCCTTCTTCCTGCTTGGTGCTGGGATTGTGGTATCAACCAGCCCAATCTCAAACTTCCCACGACACGCTCAATCTAGCAATCTAGACCTTGGAGCGCGACTCCCGATCTCCCCACAACAAAGAATCCCATATCTCTCGTCCATCATCGCCCTCCTTTTCCCACAATCCAGCAATGCGGGGGATTTACAACAAAGCCACTAACCCCACAATTTGCTCCTAGTCTCCTCGTCTAGACAACCATTTGCCCCAGGACCGAGGTCTGTAACGTCGCGGCCGAGAGATTGCTGGGCATTCATCAATTCCCACGGGATTGCGGGGATGTATCGGTGCGAAAGCGACAAGAAAAGTCTGGGGTCAAATGGCCTGGAATGTACATGCACACAAGGCTCTGTCAAGGTAAAGCGTGGTTACAGCTCGGACCATGTTCCTATTCCCACCACTTCGGTTCCGCGCTTCGAATGCGCCTCAGATCCTCTAAACTTTCTCCAAATGGGTCAAGAATAGTAACAAAGAAGATAAATTCCTCCATATGGGAACCGTGTACCAGACACTGCCCCACTGCCACTCCAGCATCAGTCTCTCAGAACAGTCCGGCTTAGAAAACAGCCATACCCTGCGCGTTCTTGTCGACGCCCATGGAGTCCAACTGGAAATGTTGAACCTGCTTAGCCGAACCCGGCCCTCCAGAGACATCCACCACAGTCACTGCGGCAGGCGTAGTTCCATTGCCTGGAGACAGAGCATAGATGAAGTTGCCTGCCGCTTTCAAGTCGATGAGTCCCGGGTCCCCGTTTGCTGATAGGTCCAGAGTCGAAATGATGCTAGCGTCTGTCAAGCTCATTTCCACAAGACGATTGACGCCCACGTCCGCGACGAATGCAGTCCCAGTCTTGGGAGAGATGGCCGCCCAGCAGGTGGCAGCTTGACCATCCACCGCTTGCTTTGCCACAGTTGACGCCGTGCCACTCGCCGGGTCCACGGACACAACAGCAGCGCCAAAAGACGCGTCAGTCACAAAGACATTTGACGTGCCACGAATGACTTCCGAGCCGAACAGAACGGCTGTTCCTGCCGGGGAGCTGCGTGTATCCGTCATCGAAAGACTTGCTCTCATATGCCAATTTCCTCCTTGCACGGGGAAGACTGAGAAGAACCCCGTGTTGTTGTTGGGCGGATCACCCTTGACCGTCGTGAACAGTCGAGACTCGTCCTCTGAGAAGAAGACTTGGGACACTGTGTTCGTCGGACCAACAGGAGGAGTTGTCTGGACCAGGTCAAAGGAGCGCAAGCTGTCCATCGCACCGAGACCTTGTCTCGAGAAGGACGAACAGGAAACACCATTGACCTCGCCGGTGGTCCCAACACAGACAAGTCGATTGCGGGCTGACGCTGCGACAGTATTGGGAAATTGACCGGGGAGACTGACGGGAGCACCGACTACGGTGAGCTTCGTCGGGTCGCGTGAGTCAATCGACAGCATTGACAAGGTATTGCTTCCAGCATTGACGGCGAAGATATTCTGTTCATCTCGTCAGCCATTTCATATGTCCTCATTTTCAATGCTGAAAAGGGTTCACATACGTTTCCAGCAATTGTCAAAGCGGACTGCGATATCAAAGCGTCAGGAGCTGCCGGCTCATTGTCTGCAGTGACGCTATTTGATCCCTCTCCTCCAGTCGGAGTCAGGGAACCTTGGGAGAGCATGCCATTGGCGGCAACGGGCACTGCTGCGACAGAGTTGCTGGCATCATTGGTGATAAAATATATCGCGCGAGCCCCTTTTGGGTGAGGGTTCCCCCATTTGCCAGGGTGCGGTGATGGCGCGGACCAGACGGAGCCAATGGATGCCGCCAGAAGCAGCGAGGATGAAAGGAGATTGTTCAACATATTTGTCGCTTCAGATTGTCAACGTCCAGCGTTAGGCTCCTATGAAAAGATGAAGTGAATTCAGGTTGGCAGTATTGTCTTGTGGGAAGCTGAATTGTCTTTTCTCTCCGTTCAGGCGCATCTGCTGCCGACTTTATACTTCGTGGCATGGCTAAAAATCTCCGCGACAACACTCCTCGAACCTCTCAGAGACACATTATTCGGCACCTGTACTCCTGTGTAATCTCCACGGGAAGGGAAAACGTGTCAGTCGATACAACGGCTGTGAATCTCTCCCCTCGGGGTTTGTGTCTCTCGTCGTGGATTATACAATATTTTATTTCCTTCTTGGGACAAGACCGAGAATGGCGTCGGCAGCAGCAAATTGGGCTAATCCCAAACAGGAAGAAAATGATTATCCATCGAGGGTCCGCGAGAGGCGAAGAGTGAAAGCGAATGAGGCTCCACTCACGAGGCGTCAAATCCAGGGGCCCATCGCCGCGGGGCCTGAGACACAAGCGAAACGGCAGTCAGCCGCCGTTGCAACTGTGGATGTTTCTCGACTCGGACGTTGTTTTTGATGGTCTCAATGACTTCACCTCGTTCCTGTATTCTCGTTATCATGCGCGTCCAACTCTTCTATCAACGAGGACGACATCTGTGTCTGCTTTGAGATGCAGCCATGTCGGACATATTCCGACCACTTTTTAGGTCCGTGGAGGGTATGTACCTGCAGACCGTACCTCGCACTCGTCTCCAAGAAAACCATGTCCTGACTCAGATCCTATCCAGACAAGGTTGCGAACAGACGTGAACAATTGCGCAAGGCCCAGAGGTTAGTACTGTCGCGTCAGGCGAATCGGACGGCTGCGATCTGGAGATCTTCGCTGCCCACGAGGTGGGATTGACTAACACGGTATATCCAACTGACCAGGACCTTTCGCGAACGACGAGACCAATACCTTCGGGTTTTGGAAAAGTCCGTTAGGCGCTTACAAGCCAACGAAGCGAGGCTGCAAGCTGAAGTCGACCGACTCGAGCGAGATCTGGCGGCGGCCAACAGCAAACTTGCGCAATGCGAGGCCGAGTTGCACAAGTCGGCTTCCTTGACTCATACTGAACACGCCTATGCGAATAGAGGCGGCTATGCGACTGGACTTGGAGGATTCAACTTCGCATCTGAGATGGGCAACTCAGCTCGGCCAGCTTATCTCTCGTCGCCCAATGGCTGGATGGAGAGCGGAGCGGGTGCGTCTGTCAGCAGCAGCTCCTCGAGCACTCTGGTCTGGATCGAGACGGAGAATGGCCAGCCTGTCCAGATGCATGTCCAGCAGAAGCAAGAATTTGGCTTCCTGCCGCCCAGTGCTGGAAAAAATTCAGCCTCACTGGGACGAGATAGAAGCGCGACGACAGTCCTTGTGGCCCACCTCGACGCTGTGGTTGTTGCCATGGAGTTTGTGCTCAAGTATGTTATAACAGATTATCATATCCTCCCCTTCACGCCCTGCATATGTACGGCACTGAAGAGATGAAACTCAAACCTACAGACTTGAATCGCCATGTCTCCCACACCTCCGCCAGAACGAGGACGAGGACAACGGCGATACCACCTCGAGCAGTCCTCTCCATGGCCATGTCCATACAGCGTCGGCGGCACTTCTGTGCTGTTATCCGTCTCCATCATCCTCATCGCCAGCCTCGTCATCCTTTTTATCACCACCCAAATCGACATCATATACAAATATCAACAAATACGCCTCACCACTCTCACCCCCAACTTCGACTCCCTCTCCTTCCTCGTCTACCGCTCTTACGTGGCCCGCCCCAAAAGCGACCCTCGAGCGACTGCTTAACATCTCGGACGACTTACCCATCGACCAGGCCTCGGAACTAACGCCAATCCAAGTATGGCACTGTGTGCAGCAGTCGCCGGGGTTTTCGTCGTTGATGGTGCAGGGCTTGAACCAAATGGCTGAGAGGTTGGTGGCCCACGTCAAGTGTTACGGGTACGTAAGCCATCTGTTCGCGTCCGTCGAATGTATACCGTTTGGAGGACTGGTCCGATCCACTCTCAGCTCCAGTCGTCATTCCGCCTACTTATGATCCTATCTGTATCTATGACATGGTGTTCTCACTGCTGACCTTTCTCACTGCTACAGATTCGGCGCTGTTGTCAGACGGGACTTTTTGACCAAATTATTGTCCGAGATGTGATTCCGCAGGACCATGATGTTGCTGTTACTATCACTGTCAGTGTCACTGTTACGTCTTGGAGAGGGGGGACATATGTAAAAGGAGGATTGCGAAGAGAAGGAAGATGTGAATGAGGAATGAATGTCGACTTGTCCAATGACACTGTTCAAGACGAATAAAAGAATACATCCGATATGCAGGAAGAATCTTGAAATTGTGTCCATGCAATCGTCTGACTATTGATCTATCGATCTGTCGGTCGATCGGATTCAACGCAAACATTGCAACGGGTGAGAAAGTTGAAAGATGATAACCACCACCGACAACGCCGCCGCCGTCGTGATAATCGTCATCATGATCATGATTATAATACTGCCCTCCGACGTCCTCCAATCTCTCCATCACAGTCACTCGACCACTTTGTTGGTGTTCTTACTCGCATCGTCCCTTGTGCGAGTGAGCGAGTAATCGAGGAAGATTCCTTGTCCCAGGAGCGCCGTGGATGCGGGACCGAAACAAAGCGGTCGAGTTGATTAAATTATTGTAGAATTTCTCAGAAAAATAAAAGAGCGTTGAAAAATTAGGTTTCTCTGCAACACCGCCTCTCAACTGCCGGGTGGTATTGGTTTCGTACTCGTTATAGTATTCGTCTGTCCGTTTGTCTGTCCCGTCTGTCCAGCCCATTGCCATTCCTAAAACCCCACGCCGAAATGGCATTTGTGAAATTGAAAGATGAAAATTGAAATTACCACTGTTCCTTCTCCCCAAAACCCAAGCCAAAAACCCCAAACCCCAACTGCGCCTTGCTTGCTTCCTTTTTCCTTGTTCTCTCTATAACCCGAGCTTGACTGAGCTTGAGGCTGGGCCCTATTTGCGAGCCGAGAGCTGACACTCCGGGTTCCCAAGGTCGACCCAGAAGGCGGCCGTGTTGAACTCGGAGTAGACGGTGTCGATCTGGACCTTTGAGACGTCGACGTCGAACTCGATAAAGCCGTGGACGCGCATGTAGTCGCTGCCGATGCCGTAGGCGTTCCAGCGCCAGAATATCTGGTCGCACGTGTAGGCGGTCGACAGGGTCTCGACGGTCGGCAAGGGTGGCGTCACCGACTGCGAGGCGATAAAGGCCTCGAGGGACGGGTAGGCGGCTGAGCTGAACTGTATTCGCACACAGAGGAAGACAAGTGGTCAATGATGGGTCTTGATATGATATCAAGGAAAGGGTGAAAGAAGAAATTGGGAACTTACATCGCGCTGCCCCAGCGTGTTGATCGAGTCGCTCCACACCTCAAACTTGTCCGACAGGATCGCGTTGGCTGTGGCATTGAAGTCGTCACCGCCGGGGTACTGCAGAAGGTAGGTGTATCCCTTGACCAGGACGTCGACGTCGGCGTCATTCAGGCAGTGGCCGCCCGCCGTGCCCGAGTTCAATGGCGGGTTTCCTTGCGTGTTCCTGCCCCGGCCGGGGACAAATCTCGGCCGGTTGGCGCGGGGGTGGTGTCGTGGTCCTTCTCCTCCTGGTCCTTGTTCAGGTCCTGGGCCTGGACGACCGACGCCGTTGGGACCGTCGCCACGGCCACCTTGTCCTGGGCCCTGTCCGAGGACGGTGGCGGCGAGGGAGAGGACGGCAATGTCTGTGAAGCGCATGATGACTGCAAGGCGATATTGAAGATGGCGTTGTCCTAGCTCAAGAGATTGGAGTGAAGAAATGTAAATGAATGGATGGGAAGTTGTTCCGGGATGACTGGGGAATAAAGGAGAGACTGGGACAAGGGAAGAGGAAAAAGGGACCACTCGCAAAAAACAGACGACACAGCCCTGATATAAACACTTTTGTTCCCTCTCTCTCACTCACTCGCACTCACAGGTACGGGAACGAGTAAGAGTATAACGAGCGGAGCAGCGGGCAAAACGCGTCGTGCTTCTTTCCTCCAACCAACCAACCAACCAGCCAACCTACCTACCTACCTACCTACCTACCTACCTACCTACCTACCTACCTACTTACTTCCTGCATCGTCGGATGTCCTGATCCAAGCGACGCGTGTTTTGGGGGAGGTGGGAAGTGGGAAGGTGAGAAAACTCTCGAGTGGCTTGCGTGAATGTGCTGTTTCGGACAATGTAATCATGGATGATGAAGATCTTCCCAGCAAGGAGCAGATCCCTCCACGAGCAAGATTCCCTTTTAATCGGCATCTGACAACTAGAAAAACCCACTCTTGGAAGATCTGGGTTGAATTCAGGACGGGCAAATTTTGAGTATGTTTTATTGGCTTTTTGGGGATCTGCGCGCCCGCTGTATGCATGACACGATGATACGGCGCGTCACGTGTAAGAGATACCTGTGCCGTGTCGAGGGTCAATGTAATGTGCACCAGACTTCCCAGCCAAGTCAAAGTAAAAAGTCAGGCTAAGGTGAAGGCTCTTTGCCGGAGAAGGTTGGGACATTGTCGCGAGGCTGGCTGCAGGTAGACTTAAAGTACCTCTGGCTACCTACGGAGTACGGAGTTGCAGCAATGTTTTGCGGTCGCGGAGTACAAGTTTCTGCATGTCCCGAGCTCCGAGTTCCGAGAAATCCACTATATGGCAAGTAGTCGGTATAATATACTTTCAAGGACTGCCAAGTATGGTAATGACCATGTATATCCATCGAAATTGGATATCCCTACCGTACCCCTAATATCGTGTCCAACTCGGCGACTCAATGGAGGTATTTCTTCCAAAGCCGACACTCTCCAAGGTTTCGTTAGAGAAGGGGACTAGCCAGCCATTCCAGCCAGCCATACCGCCAATTTCATGGAGCATGGTACTCGGACAAGGAGACATGTAGTGATTGCTCCGGAATCGGGATCAGGGGCCGAGAAGTAGGCAGCCTTGCGACAGATAGACGGATAGGTAGATAAGTCCACGACTAGGAAACATTGCTCACTTGAAAGTCCAGCGAAGAGGAAACGCCATGTGCGATACACCCTAACGCGGTACATAGATAGACGGGGAGATAATACCTAGGCGATGAATTAGATGAGCCCACAAGCCCTGTGCCCCGTCTGCATGTTTGCATGTTTGCTTGTCTCGTCTTTGCATTCAAATCAAACTCTTTCCAACAGGATCGACATGATCGACATGGCTCCATACAAGACACATTGATGGTCAATACTGTTATAATTTCTTCACATACGGCCTTACAACAGTCAACAACAAAATAGGAATTGGTCCAGTCTCGTTCCTGTGGCTGCATTGCATATCTGCATCGTTAGCTCCTCTCGAGTCTCGACACCGGCTCGGCCGGCTGCTTGGGCTTGATCTTTATCACGCATGCTCAGAACCGCCTTCAACAAAATGTGGTTAACGAATCCAATTATTATGTGCTAATGCCAGTCGCTCGGATGTCCACGCATCTCGTCTTGCTGCTGTGTAATGCTTTCCCATGCAATGCTCCGTCGTCGCCCGATAACCCATCTCTATCGTTCACATCATTGCTCTTAGTCGCAAACCTTCCATGCAAAAGTCGCCAGAGACACCTAATCCACGCCGCATATGAAACACGCGATGCTCACTCGTACAGAGTATCAGCGAAAGACTCATCCAACCAGCACTGACAAGTGCATACCCTGCGCCGGAGCAATGCAAACTGAACCTAAACAAACGCCCTCGTCCTCAAGCCTTGGCTACCGCATCTATCTTCTTCATCGTCTCCTGAATCTCGTTCAAAAGACCTTTTCGGAACCCACGTGCTTCCGTAGAATCCACGTCAATTGCGTCCGCTTTCAGGATAATATGCGTCATGACGCTCTCACTCAACTTGCGGTGTTCTTTCTCCCGATCTTGGGCCGAAGAAGGGGGGTTGGAGATGAACTTGCGGCAGAGTGGAAGCCATTGCTCGTGGTAGTTATCCGAAAGGGCCTGTAACTTTCCCAATGGACTGTTCGGGTCCGCCGCAGGCAGTGAGGTGGGAATAGGTGTCGGGGTGGACGACGGTCGAGGTGACGTTCCCCGGGTGCGAGACGGCTCGCGTCGCACGGGCCGATCATCAGGCTCTGGTCTTAGATTGGTGCGAGACTGTCGTTCGGACGTGGTCCCGGAAGAAACGTGCCCGTTGGGATGAAGAAAACTGGACGATGCCGAAGGTCTCTGCTGTGGCAGATTTTCGTCGCTACGATGTCTGACCGAAGACGCAGCACGGGGTCGGCGCCGAGGATTTTGCTCAGGAACGTCCTCACCGCCCGACGAGTGACTATCTCTATCGCTGTAGTCCAGTATCGCCTCGGTCTTGATGGCTGCCACCTCGCTGTTTTGCTTCATGTTATATTTTCGCAACGGCCACCCATCGTGCTTTAGGTCGCGCTTCTTGTACACCAGTCGCACTCTTCTGGGATCCGTCTGCAAGTACCGGGCGACGGCTTCTCGAAGTTGGCCGACATAGGCAGTCTCTTCACTGATGGAATATGGAGGGAATTCGACAGGAAACAGAGAGGCCATGTATCGCACAAGGATGACATCCGGAGCATCAGGGTCTTCTATCGGCACCTCATGTAGTCTGGACACAGAGTGACGATGCGGCTCTTGAAGCATGCCATGATCGGCGTCAATGTACTCAAAGTGATTAGACAGGTTGCGAGTGTAGGGATCGACGATGTTGCTGGTGTAAGGCGAACCCCCACTACGACCACCGTAGGCGACGTAGCTACCGTAGCTACTCATGAGATAGCGGGCAACAAGATAGACGAAGGAGAGGATGAGGGCAGCAAGGGTCGTGTAGGACGCGGTGGAGTACTCTGTCAGGAGAAGATTGACGTTGTTGTGAAAATCGGCCGGCAAGTGTCGAAGGATCGGTTGGGCGAGGCTGTTGAGATTTCGTACGAGATCAGAAGACCAAGTCTGAAGGCTTGAGGACGCCACGGTGAAGGACTTGGATTGATCGAGGAGGCTGAAGAATTGTGTGAAATTTCCCGATGGATCTATTCACTGATTATTTGGATGGCGAAAGGGGGGGGGAAAGCTGGAGTTTCTGTGCTTTGGGAAGCGCGAGGGCAGATCTCTCGACGTTCGTCACCAGCTCCGAGTGTATGTAATAGCGTGGATCGGCAAGGCAGGGGATGGAAGGATGAAGGCGAAAACAACTTTGTATTGGAAAGCACACCATATGACAAGTCCAGTCGCCGCAGTTGGTGGATTGGGTGGTGGCCTGGGCGCAGGGGAGGGGGGAGAATGCGCTCCTTTGAACAGGCGCAGTTTGGTCGGTGGTGGGTGCGAATCCGTTAGTCTGGTTTAGGCTCGGCTCTGGCGGGCAATAGAGATGAAGAAATCGAGGTGGATGACGCAGATTGTGGGTGTGTTGGTTGGTGTTGTGGTGCGTGAAATTATATCAATCAGGGTTCAAGTGGACTTTGGGTAGTTGCTTGACTTCTCGGGCATTCAAGGGGAGTTTCTTCGGAGAACTACCAGTAGTAGAGATTGGAGTCCAGGCCTTGGGAAAAAGATTTTTCTAGGTAGAGGGAAAAGGAGAGGCAGAAGCGCAGGCGTCGCAGGTGGGATGATTTCTCTGAGCCTAGACATGCGGTTGCGGAAAAATAGTTTTGCCGATACGATGCGACATGTGAGCTGCTGAAAGTTGAAACTAGAAGCGTTTCTCACCATCACCAATGTCTACCAAGTTTGTCATGGCTCGGGCAAAAAGTGCGCACCATGATGTTGCAACTTGGACAGAATCAATTCATCCAATTTTAGGAGAAATGACACGGACACACGCACTCCCAGATCTTACCAAAGTACTCATATCGATGGCGGTGCCTCTAACATTGGGAGCAATTGATGCTAAAATGAGGATACGGACACCATTGCGTCCAACAACAGAAGATTACCATTATAAATGATGACCTTCCAGCTAAGAGGAAATCCCATCTGTTTTGTTGAAACGATGCCCTCTTCTCATCAATGTGCGATTCTTACCCAGAATGTATTTTTCAGCCTCACCAATGCCACCCTCCAGCACCACCGCAACACCAAAGTCCTTCGCCTAAATTCTGCCACTGTCTTTGTCCTTTTGTCCTGTCTACTCCAGTACTTGTAAACGATCGCCACAGCCTGTTTCTGACCATGACTTCGTTTTGAGCCAATTTACCCCGGACTCGGATCGTTGAATCCGCTACCGAGCCCCGTTGGATCACATCCCAGACAATCGATTCACCGCAGGGCGCGGCCGCAGACGGGCAGTTCTTCCTCATGGTGTTCCGATTTTAATCTACCAGTAGTCATACGGTCAGCCTTTTTGCACGTCGCGTGAGCACGCTCCGTCGATCCTAGTGGCAAGAACACCTCACCAAGGTCTCACAAACTGTCTTTGGTGCCTGGAAGTTCCTCCCGCCTGTCTTGCACGCGAACCACACAAAAATCACGCAGCTCCAGCTCCATCTCCAGCACATTCGCGTCGTGGAGTTGACAGGGACAGGCACACAGGCAATGAACTCGGAGGAAAACACAGCGAGAAGAGGAGGTCCAGGGCTACTAACCATCCCCGGCTGATGTCATGGCGCGGCGTCGTTTCGGTGCCTCAGGTGCTTGAGGTCAACATCCCGCGTGACTTTTTAGCTGCGGAGAGTCCTGCGTTGAGCTCAGCATATCCTGTGGTGCTGGTGGTGCCTGGGTTCTGCTTGGTTGGTTGTGCCGTGGGTGGTGCCTGGCTGGCGAGGCAAGTCCCGGTTTTTCCGGACATGGTGCAGCTAACTAAGTTACTCCAGGCCTGCATCTTTGAACAACCCACGCTCCCACCACGCTCGAGTTGGCTTTCCCCCCACGTCCCCTACCATTCTTCTCAAAAAATCTCAAGGGAAACCCTGAACCTGTTTGTTTTCTCGATCTGAAGAGGAATAGAAGCTTCTTCTCCCCCAGTCCCAGGCACAATCCCCCTACCAAACAGACCGTCGGCTATCCCACCATCTCTCATAGCCTATTCCTCGAGAAAGCCAGGCCAGGACCTACACTCCCACGCGTTGCGGAGAAGTCGAACTAAAGAAGCGGGCTGATGGATAGCTGCACGTCTCGAAAGAGGAGGACGATACGAGAAATTGTGCAGTGTCCAAGTGACCTCACGCATATTCTGAGGCTGCCCTGCGTCACTGGGCATCAGTCAATCCCCCCGAGAGACAAATGAGGGTCCACAATCTGGTCCTGCTACATCAGAGCATGATGCCTCGTCATTCCTCTGGCTCTTCTGCCAATGGACTGCGCTTTAATTCCTCCTGCTACTGTGTGAGACTGACCGTCCGTTGGTTTTTTAGTTTGGCGGTAGGTCTTCCGATACGTGCTATGTGCCCGAAAACAACGTGCAACCTCCTTCTCTTTTCGAGATCTCACATGCATTTCAACAACGCAGCCAGGAAATCTGAACCCGTCGGCGTTCGACTATCCCTCGAGTCGACCATAGTCACACCGCCCACTACCTCTCGCTTCTCGCACATAAAACTGCCTGTCGAGGACCATTGCTTTCTCCCTCCTTTCATTCCCAACTCTTTCACCCTCTCCGATATTCCCAGCCATGGATGTTTATACTCTTCCCAATGTTACCGACCCTCATCCCCCAACTGCCCTTGCCCTTCAGAGGGTGAGTCCGGTACTCCCTTACCTCGCGGTCGCTTTTTCGTTGGCCAGTTTCCTCTGGTGGTGCATACAAGACTATCGCTTCTTCAAATCCCTGGGAGTTGGCGGTCCCTCTCATGACATCTTTGGCTGGTTCAAAGTCCACATTCTGGTCAGGCCGTTCACTCTCGCCGTTCGGGACACCATGTGGACTGGAGACTATCCGGACCATGGTGCTCACAAGGAGATCATGGCGCTGCCGGCTCGAAGAGGGGAACGGCCAGTCATATTGGGCATCGCGCCTCAGAGGCAATTTAGTCAGTGTCCCAATCAAGAGATGAACTCGGTGAGCGAACCTCCAGTATTTGCAGTCCATGTGGTAGACTGCCATGATGTAATGCTGTCGAGGCTCCAAGCTAACCTTTGGCCAGCGTGTACTTGACATGTTCTCGTCGTTTGTCCAACAAAATCCCAACCTGCTGCAACAACGAGTTTCGGTTGTCGAGAAACACCATTATGCACTCTTTGTGCATCCGAGCATACTTGCGGAGTCAGACAACCTACCACAAATTGCAACCGTCGCCAACGGCGAATTAGGGCATATCCACGGAGACACTTCACTGCACCTTTACTTCTCACCAGCGGATGCAAAAATTCTCATCCAACGGGGTTGGGCTCAACGGCATCGATGTGCTAGGACTCAGCCGTGGTGGTTCGGTGGATTGAAGAATATGTGGGGTATTGGAGACACCTTCCTCATAGTGTATGCTCCACGGGACCAGGCTGAGCTTGATGTGTTGTGTGTCTTGATTAAGGCCAGCATCATGTTCATGACCGGCGAGCAAGATGTCATCAAACCGTAAGAAGCACCCAAGGAAGATACTGGCCGATCCGGGCGTAATAACCATACGAACCCTGCAAGACGAAATCGGTGATCAGTCTGGCGGTGGGGCAAGATCCAGTATTCTTCCAAACATGACGTGAGGGATTGGCAGTGACAGTACGAGGTTCATGGAGCGGTGATGAGTGAAAAAAGGGAGATCGCAAGTCTGTTGAGGCTGGCAGCATGGCAGCATGGTAGCATGGTCAAGGTGGTGGTTAGATGGAATACTCCGTCGTTCAAAGTCGCTTAATTTTCATATGTAGACACAAAATCGCAGGCCTGACCGATCTCGGCTTTGTTGCCGCCAACGAGAAAACAGGGCTGTAAAAGCGGCATTGACCCGTTTGAGCCATTCAAACCGCAAGAATATGTCAACGCCCTTTGTCCCGCCACTGCTACATCTCAACCAGGACCATTGCCATCATCTCCATCACCCTCGACCATGGCTACCACAGTCCCCCGCTACCGCTGTCTAAACGGCCATCCATGGTCTTCTCCGTTCAAAGTCTTCCTTCCTGCTACCTCGACATCAGCCTCGATTGCATCGCGGACATTCGCCACCACGACTGATGACCTCCCCACCAGCAAACCACGAGTGCGTGCGACCACCTTCGCCGACAAGCTCAATGCTGGGCCTTCGTTTTCCGACTTTGTGTCAGGCAAGGAGCCGCCATTGGAACCCTCGGAAGCATACGCCCTGAAGACTGCTCTCGTGGGGCCGAAGGGCAAGCAGAAAAAAATCACGCGTCTGCCCTCGTGGCTGAAGACGCCGATCCCGGACAGCTCCTCCTACAAGAAGATCAAAAATGATTTGCGCGGTCTGAATCTACATACTGTGTGTGAGGAGGCCCGATGTCCCAATATCTCCGACTGCTGGGGAGGGAGCAGCAAGTCCGCGGCCACGGCGACCATCATGTTGATGGGCGATACCTGCACCCGGGGTTGTCGTTTCTGCAGTGTCAAGACGTCAAAGGCTCCTCCTCCGTTGGATCCGCATGAGCCAGAACATACGGCTGAAGCGCTTTCGCGGTGGGGTCTAGGCTACGTCGTTCTGACAAGTGTTGACCGAGACGATCTGGCGGATGGAGGAGCGCACCACTTTGCAGAGACGGTGCGCAAAATAAAATCCAAGGCGCCCGCTATTCTGGTCGAGTGTCTTACCGGCGACTACGCGGGGGATTTAGACATGGTCAAACTTGTTGCGACGTCAGGATTGGATGTGTATGCGCACAACGTGGAGACTGTCGAGGCATTGACGCCTCAGGTGCGCGACCGCCGAGCAACATTCCGGCAATCGCTTAGCGTGTTGGAAGCCGCCAAAGCAGCACAACCAGGTCTCATCACCAAGACATCCATCATGCTGGGCCTGGGCGAGACCGAGGACCAACTGTGGGCTGCGCTGCGAGAGTTGCGCGCCGTCGACGTCGACGTGGTCACGTTTGGCCAATATATGCGTCCCACAAAGAGACACATGCCCGTGCACGAGTACGTGACGCCGGACGTCTTTGAGCAGTGGCGCGTGCGGGCGCTGGAAATGGGTTTCTTGTACGTGGCGAGCGGCCCGCTGGTGCGGAGCAGTTACAAAGCCGGGGAAGCATTTATCGAGAATGTCCTGAAGAAGAGGAGAGCTGGCAGGGGAGAGACGGCGACCGCCGATTTGGCGGGCGATATAGACGTGAAGGAGGTGCAGATTGGAAAGCTTTGATTTGTACGAGCTAGGGCATTATTCGGTACTTGATATTTTCCTTGGGATAATATACGTATGAAGGTGAAGAGGGCGAAGGGATATTTTGGGTCATTGTCCATTTATCCACGACCTCTTGATCGAGAATGTCTCGATATCTCGACAACAGAAGAAATGTCAGGCCAGTGTTGCTGATACGTTTCTACATTTTGCCCGCTTTCATATTGGTAGAGATCCGCTTTTTGCAGTATGGGATCATCCTACTTTGTGTATTTGCCTGATATCTTACGCCCATTCAGTAACCCTTCCAGCGCTCCGTTATAAAAAATGCCCTTGTGTTTGTAGTGGTGGTGGTGGTGCAGTTCCGTCACTCACGAGAGAGCAGACCGGGTCTCCTTGCAATAACGGTCCATGTCAATCGCGTGCCGTTTCTCAAAGCCCCGTCGTTTTGCCCTTTTGAAATGTTCGATGCTTTGGGGGTCCCGGCACACAAGGCCTTGGACGGAGAGGGAGAGACGAACCACCGCCGATATCCCCACCGCCGGGTAGAAGAAGCTGGGAAACCATGTCTTCGTCGTTGTCCTCGTCCTTTTTGTCAGCTCTCCTCGAGTGTCAAGGTTAGCGCATCGAGTACATTCTTCTCCTCTTATTCTTGTATGATCTCATTTCCCTTTCTTCCACCCTCGTCCCAGTCAAGGGGGGGGGGGGGGGGGTTCCAATCGTATCTTCACTGCGCATAATGCCCTTTTTGTTTGACCGCAGTAATCACCCACAACTTCCACACTCTGGGCCGCGCACGTCGTCGATCCCTCCCATCCTCCTCGGCCCACTACCAGGACCGCCGGCACCACCACCTCCACCTCTTCCCCAAGAACCACCACTGCCACCACCGCCGCTGCCCCCGCCGCCGCCGAGTCGTGTAGTACTCCCCGCACCCCAGCGCGGACGGTCTTGATAAGCGTTGGGCCGGCCGCGGGTGTTGAATTGGCTGTTCTGCGCGGCCGTGTAGGGGTCCAGCGAGAAGAGGGAGACAAGGTACAGGCCGAGGAAGTTGTACAGGTCGTCGGAGAAGCGGGAGATGCGGGCGGAGAGGGGTGGTCTGATATATAAGTCAGCACATGCACACATACGAACGACTGGTGTAGATGGGAAGGTTTAACAACGGCCGGGGATAAAGAGAATATAGCTATTTTTATGGAATAGGGAACAGTGTGGACTGGAAGGGGTTGTAGAACGAGAGGAGGTGAAGCGGAGAAGGAGGAGGAGCAGGGGATTAATCACCTCTCTAGAACATGGCCCGACGAGGACACGTAGTTTGCCTTTCCCTGGGACGGCGACGGTTTAGCAGATGGAGGAGGTTTATCCATGGTTTATGTACTTGCTCGCTTCTGGGGGGAAGTGAAGTTCAAGCGCGCAAGCGGGAGTTATGAGAGGTCGCTTGTCGTCGTGTCAAAGTTGGGGATGCTCGGGTTTGAGGATTATTGGATTGGGAACGTGAGGATATACACGAGTACAGGAGTTGATGATAGAGATGTTGAGGTTGCGAGGAGATAACACCGTGGTTGGAATGTGGTCTGTCGAGAGATGAGGAGAGGCGAGCAAGCGAGCAAGGGCGCAGCAGCAGGCGGGGCGGGGAATATGGCCGGCTGGCTGCAAGGCTGAGACTCGACAACATCTGGGGCCAAGGCTGAACATCGACAAACCCATGACATGTCAAGAGTACAAGGTACTTTACCCTCCACACATATTTAGCAAAGTCTCTTTTGTTATTGATTTTTTCGAAATTGTCCAAGATCATGGTCTATGTTCATGGTACCCGATAAGCCCACGTAGGGATAGCTTGTGACCACGACTGAAAATTGGGATGAGGCTTTTTGGGGTTGCCTCGACTTTTATGTACGGGATACACATGTGCCTAGTGTGCTCCCACCTGGGATGTATCCCCCATCCATGTGCTAAATAGACGACACCTCACAAGCCCAGCCGCTCACTCGCCATCCTGGCCCCCTTGACGCGGCTGGCGATCTTCTGAAAGGCGACCTCGCGCGCATAGTCCGGGTTGTTCTTGTGCTTGGGCTTGACGTCGATGCTGAAGGGGCTGAAGCCGCAGTCGTCGGTGGCGCCCAGCTGGTCCGGCGGGATGTACTTGGCCGCCTCGACGAGGGCCTCGCAGACGTGCTCGGCCGTCTCGACTTCCGGGTTGAGCGGGTTGACGACGCCGACAAACGCGACCTGCTTGACACCCCGGGCGTCGCGGCGGATCGTGCGCCCAATCTCCTCGTACACTTTGGTTTTGTTCTTCTCCGACGCCAGCTGGATCAGGAAGTAGCCCGCGTTCATCTGGAACAGCGACGGCAACAGTTCGTGGTAGTCGACGTCGGCCGAGTGCACCGAGTCGCAGTCCCCACCGGGGCAGGTGTGGATGCCGATGTTCTTGCGTTCTTCGGGTGTGAATCGGTCTGTGTATCTCGCCGCCGCCACCGCCGAGGTGGGGAGGGGAGTTCATGTCAGTACCACATCAAAAAAACTTGTATACCAGCCAAAGTGCGACCACATCTCTTGTGTGCCTGTCTCTACATCTAAAAGGATTTTCTTCTCGCCTTGAACATCATAGATATCAGGCTCACTTACCGAGCACCTGGTTGTTCAGGTCAATGAACTTTTGCAACAAATGCTTCCCCGTCCAGGGGTTTCTCTTGTCATTCTTCGCGGCCAGTCTCCCCTCGGTGAAGTCGATGGACACGCGCTTGGCCCCAGCGGCGAAACAGCCGCGGATGTCCTTTTCGCACTCGGCGACGACGTCCTTCTCGAAGTCCTCGCGCGAGTATCCCTCGACGGACCCGTCGAGCGGGTACAGCAGGTACATCATGGACGGGGCGATGACGGCCTGTTTCATGGCGTGTCCACCGGCCAGGGGCATCGACCGCTTCAGGTTCTCGTAGGCGTACGTCTTGTACCGAAAGGGGCCCTTGACCAGGCGTGGCAGCTGCCGGTGATGGCCATCGTCAAAGATGGCAAAGTACTGCCCGTCGGCAGCCAGATTCTCCGACAGGCCCGTGCCCCCGAGGGTGTCGGTGATGGGGTACGTGGCGAACGAACTCGCCCGCTGCTCGCCGTCGGTGATCAACGTTTCGCCGGTCGCGGCGAGGTTTTTCAACGAGTCCTCGACCGCGCGGTCCTGGGCCTTGACGAGCTCGTCGCGCGTGATGGTGCCGGCGTCGTAGTCGGCAAAGGCCTTTTGGAGGTACGCCGGTCGAGGAAGACTCCCGACGATTTCGGTGGGGATTGGCATCTTGGATCTTCACTTGTGTATGTAATCAAGACTTGTTCCTGGAGAAGAGAGAAAGACAAAAGGACTTCGAGGAGAGTCGTGAGAATAGAATCGACCGTGTCTGCTGCTGGCTAGCACCCAAGATTTTTCCTTTTTCTTTTTTCCTTTCCCCGCCCTTGGACCTCACATGCATGACGCCGGTCATTGCTCTTGACGCCTATTTCGCAGGAGCTTACCATTGGACGGGGGAGAGGGCGAGGTCCCCAGTTCCTCGTGTTCATGGATTCTTGACAAAATTTTTGGACTTTGAGCCGTTCGCACTGTTACCCCTCCAAGCTGTGTATAAGTATACCGGATGGACAATTACTATTCTCCCGTCAAGCTACCGAGTAATGATGTCTAGGAGAATTCCTAGAGATACAAATCCACGTGTCCCATCCCACTCCCCACATCCTACACAACCTTACACCAGCCCCGCCTCAATACTACAGAGGAATACTCCGTATTCTATACCCCCTCAAGCCCCTTTTGGCCCAACAGCCTCGTGTTGTGGGGAATTCAGTCATGGTGGTGGCGGTGGTGGTGGGACATGTGGGTTGTTCCCGACAGTGGGTAAATATCCTTCTGCGAGTTCTATACGAGGTATACAAGTACCGGGCACGTGTGTATAGACACCTCTCGCTTCCTGAAGACCCTTAATGATTGGATTGAAAATCTGGTAGAAAACCTCTGCTCAAAGCGAGCCCGTAGATTTTATTGTACAGAACATAGTAGACACTCTTTCCCCCAATGCATTTCCATTTCCATTTCCCATTTCACGGGCTGAAATACTCTTCAGCTCTCGCCCATTTTCCTTGTTCTAATCAGATGCCAGAGACCCAGCCCGCGGCTGCCGTTACCATTAACATGCAATAGGCCGTCATCCGTATATTGTTGAACTCCTTTGGCAGAGGATTTGAGCTTGCAAAGCCGCTATTGTGCCGCAGCTCCTTCGCCACGGATTCTCTTCCCTTGCCCACCATTATCCGTAATCTCACCATCCTCTCGAGCTCTCTTGTTTCCACCACCGGGAGTAAACTGAGCGGCTTGCGGGTTCAACGCTCCTCGGTTCGGACTATTGGCCCCTCCACCTCGGCCTGTCTGTTGATTACCGCCGGTGTGCACATTTGGGCCACCACCACGGCCGCCTCGGGGTGCTCCACGTCCTCTTGGGATGCCGCTTCCTCGACCACGATTCGATCCACCCCGTGGAATACCAGACTGAAGTTGGTGCATCAAGGCCGCCCCGGGTTGAGACTGCTTTGCATTTTCGGATTGAGCGGGCTGAGCAGGCTGAGCGGGCTGAGCGGCCTTAGGCGGTTGAGCAGATTGAGCAGGACTGGCCTGCGGCGCAGGTTGCGGGGGTGGGTTTGGCTTAGGTTGCTGCGAAGCAGGTTGGGCTGCTGCTGCTTGCTCGGGAGCCGCATGCTGAGGTTGAATCGTCTCATCTGCTTTGGCAGGGACGTTTGGCTTCGCGACGCTTTGTGCGGTTGGAGTGGCCGGAGTAGCTGGAGGAGCTGGAGGAGCAGCCGGCTTTGGAGCTGCTGGAGTGCCCGTGGCTGTGGGTTTGGCGTCTTTGGCAACTTGCCATACCTCCCCAACCGGCTTTTCAGGAGTTTCCTCAGCTGCTTTTCTCACCACGTCCAGTTTCGCAGTTGCCAGAGCTGCTCTGTTCTGAGACATGTTAAGTTTGACAGTTCCTCGCTTCTCTGCCAACTGCTCAGCATTTCTGACTTGCTCTTCGATTTTCTTCGCCGACTCTTCGTCGAACTGGAGTTTCTGAGTCTTGAGCTCCTCTTCGTGCTTGCTGGTCATTTCTTGCTTTTCCTGAGCGAACTTCTCTTCATACTGTCTGATCAAAGCCTCTTTCTCTGTCTCAAACTCGGCCTCCTTCTGCTTGATGACCGCTTCTTTCTCGGCCTTGAGCCGCTCTTCCATGTCCTCAGGCAGTCCCGCAGGAGCCCCTTCGTTCTGGGAGCTCTGGGATGCCGCTAGTTCTTTCCGAATGTTCTCCCTTTCTCTCTCCAATCCTTTGTTGATGTTGTTTCGGACAATGCGTCGTACAATTTCGTTCTTGTTCACGAGTAACTTAACTTTCTCTTCCGACAGAGACAGCAACACCTCGTCAGAAATCTCGCCGTTGGTTACAGGAGCAGGGGCGCCTGCTGATTCTTCGGACGGCTTCTGCAGCTCGCTGGCAACAGGCACGGACGTAGCTCTGAGCGTCTCAAGTTCTTGTTGGTGCTGGGCATTCAGCTTCGCCGTCAACTCTTCAAGAGCAGCCACTTTCGCTTGCTGGGCCTGTTGCTTAAACTCGGCCAGCCGCTTATTGAGGATGGCCTCATTAGCTGCCACTCTTGATTTGAATCTCTCTTCCAGTGCAGAGTTCAACTCGTCCAGTTCCTTGGTCTTCTCTGCCAACGACTCCTCCAGTTCTTTGATCCTAGCTGCCAGTACGGCCGTGTCGGCGCCACTTGTACCGCTCACAGCTGAAGCGTCGTCAGTTACCGCATGTTCGCCATTGACTTGAACTGGTGCCGCGAGAGGAGGTGCTTCAGTGGCTGCGAGTTGTTCTTTCAGTGAATCTAGCTCTGTGTGCAACGCATCTCGTTCGGCCACGAGGGCGTCAAACTCGACCTTTCTTTCGCGTAGCGTATTGTTTTTCTCTTTGAGGACCCCTTTGAACTGCGTCTCCAATCTCGTCTTCAACTCGCCTTTAGCAGAGTCGACTGCTGCCTGTGTGCTCTCGATCTGTGCTTGAAGCGCTGTACGAGCCTCGTCGCGTTCGGCAACGGCCTTGTCGAGCTCTACCCGGACCTCGTCACGCTCTTGCTCGAGGGAGGTCATCTTCTCTCTAAGAGCATCCATTTCGGCTGGATCGACACGGTCGTATTTGGAGAGAATATTCTGGGTGCGTTGTTGCCAGTGGTCCCGGTCTTCTTGACTCAGTTTCAATTCGCCCTCTTTCAACTCCAGTAAGTTCTCCAGCTCAGCAACACGGGCGTGCAAAGACTGAACTTCGCCTTCTAGCTCTTCCACGCGTCGAGTTTTCTCGGCCAATGCTTGAGTGGCTTGCTTTGCTTCTGCTCGCAGCGTAACACTACTTTCGCGGAACAGGTTCAACTCATTCAGAGTCTCGATAAGCTTGTTGTGGCTGAGAGCATTGCGTTCAGCATCAGCCTCAGATCGTCGTTGTTGGTCGAGCTTCAGTCGCGTCTCGTCCAGTTGCGACTGTGCAAAGTCTAGCTGTTGCCGTAGCCTCTTGGCTTCCTGGACCGAGAGCTGGTATTGAACATCGACGATATCCTTCTCTCGCCGGAGGTAGGTAATGACTTCTTGCAGTTTGTCAAGCTCCGCGGAGGGCTGGGCAGGCGCTTCTCCATTCACGTCTTCTGCCAGGGCTGCACGATCACGTTTCAGAGCCGTAATCTGCTGAGTAACGCTTTCAAGTTGACCGTGTAATAGGCTGTTCTGCTGGGCGAGCTCCTCACGTCGTTTTCTGAGGTCTGCAAGCTCTCTCTCATACCGTTCTCTCATGTCCTCCCAACTGGCTTGTTTCTTCTCAAGATCGGCCTTGGACGTTTCGGCTTGTGTTCGCAGGTCAACCATCTGTAGTTTGAGTTGATTGGCTTCGTCTCTGACAATGTGGAGTGTCTTGGCTGCTTCGGCGTGCTTCAACAGCTCAGTCTCATAGTTTTGTTGAGCTTCTGTGGCAATTTGGGCTTGAATTTTCGAAGCCTCAAGATTGAATTGAGCTTGCTCTGCACTCTTTTCCGCCTCTTCCTTCAGCCGCTCAATCTCGGATTCGAAACCTGCTTTCTGCTCATCGAGTTTTCGACCAAACTCGGCTTGTTCGTCCCGCAGGCGTGACAGTTCTTGATTGGTGGTATTGAGTTCAGCGGAAATATCCTCGATACGTTGCTCGAGATCCTTGATCTTTGCGTCTTTCTCAGCAAGGGCAGCCTCTGTTTCTTCACGATACTGGTCGTTCGTTTCGCTTAGTTCTTGAAGGCGTTCTTCGCTCGATTGACTAATGTTCTTGTAGACTTCCACCTGCTCGTTGGCACGTTCAAGTTCCGAAACCTTGAGCTCAAGATCACGCTTGAGTTCCGACACTTCCACAGCAAGTTCTTGTTCTTTGCTCAAAGCGTTGTCCTCGGGACCGCTTGCCTCTGTTGTAGGCTCTGCGGGCTTGCTCAGCACTTTCAAGCGCTCTTCAGCAGACCGGAGTTCCACCGTGAGCTCATCAACCCTGGCTTGCAAATGGTCTCTAGCCGTCTTTGCCGATGCCAATTCTTCTTTCGTCGTGCTCAGGCTGGTAACGAGGTCATCGATTCGCTTCTGTGCTTGTTCATGCTCATATTCCCGTCGTAGAGCAGTCTTCTTGGTTACTTCGATTTCGTCATTGAGCTTTCTCTTGGTTGATTGAAGTTCTGACTCTAGTGACTCAATTTGGGATTGCAGTCGACGTCGTGTTTCGGAATCTGCCTGCTCACGCTCATTGATGATCGTCTGCAGACTTGCGTTGAGCTTGTCCAGTCGGCTTCGCTCGTTTCGCAAAGATTCATTATCCTCGATCAGCCGACGTTCGACGCTCTTCCACAAGTCTTTTTCGGCCTTCAAATTCGCTGAATCGCGGCGCAGGCTGTCAAGAAGATTACGCGCCTCAACAAGCTCTTCAGCAACTTGCTGGGTCCTGAGCTCATTTTTGGTAGCATTTTCCATGGCGATGTATGACCGCTTCTGGACCTCACTGTTTTCGTTCTTCAAAGAGTTATAATTAGCTTGTAGCATTTCATATCGCTGGTTTGCAGCCGTCAATTGCCCGACAGTCCGACTGATTTCGGTTTGCAGCTGAGAGTTCTTCCTGCTCAGCTCGGCGACCTGATTTTTGAGGGCAGTGTGGTCAGTCGAGGCTTCCTGTCGATACGAATCGAAATGATGTTGAAGATCTTTGAGTAGCTTGGCGTAGTCGGATTCGCCGCCAGTTACTGAGCCTGCTGGAGACTCTCCACTGGGGACTGGCAACGATCGGGAGAAGTCGTTCGGTTGAACCTGGCTAGGCAAGTGACCTCGCCTAGTCAGCATGTTCCGGAACATGTCTCTTTCCTTGACGAAGCTCTTGGTCTGGGCAACCATGGTCCTCAGTTCGTCCTGATATGAGGCGATTTGTGCGCGAGCCTGTTCTAGTTCGCGGCTGAGAGCATGATTCTGTTGTTCTCGATCCTTCGCTTCGTTGCTCTCTAATTCGCTAACTAGATTTCGGATCGTCTTCAGCTGATTCTCATTCTGTTGCTGCAGTTCGGTGATGTTTCTGAAGACAATGAGTCGTTGGTTGATTAGTTGCTGATTTTCGGAGAGATTTGCCATGTCCTGCGACATTGCTGCCTCACTCTGTCTCTCCAGCTCCTCAAAATCTTCTCGAGTGAGGGCTTCGCCTCGTTCGCGCACATACTGCTCGACGAGAAGGTACCGAATTTCTGAACCCTTGTCTCGAAGCTGTTGAGCCAGAACTTCGACCTCGCGTGATTTGCTCTCAAGTTGGCCTTGGCAGTTCCTCAGCTCCTTCACGGTGGTATCTCGCTCAGCGTTTGTCTTGTCGACAATCGCGGACATCTCGATAACTTCGCTCTGCAATCGAGCGTGGTCAGCGCGTAGCTCCTCAATTTCAGGCTTGTTGTTTTCCAGTTCGTCGACCATAGCGTCAAGGTTCTCCTGCAACTGCTCTCTAGCACGCTTCTCGCTGGCTAGTTCAGCTTCAAGCTTCTTGTACTCCGAGAAAAGTTGAGTCATGGTCATCTGGGACTTTCCTCTCGATACGGATGCTGGAGAGAAAATACCGCTGGGCGTTCCAAGTCGAAGTGGTGTCGTGATACCTGAGCCGTTAGTTGCACGTTGAGGAGTGCTCTGTCTTGCCGTTCGAGCCTGCTCCAGTTCACTTGACATCTGATGCAGAGACTCCTCGAGTTCGGCCACACGTTGTTCAGCAGCGACCCGGTCATTGTGCTCGGTTTCGATCTCGGCGCGGATGGTGCCAATCTCTTCAGCGGCCTCTTCGCGGGCTTCCTCCAAAGCAGCAGAGAGCTCTTGGACGCGCTGTTTAGCTGTCTCGGCAGAAGCCGCTTGCAGCTCAGCCAGACGGTTCACACTCTCCAGTTCCACTCTGAACGCATCCTCGGCAGATATCTTTTCTTCTCGCATCTTCTGCATTTCCTCCAACGTTTCTTCAAACCTAGCCGTCTGCTCCTCCAGGCGTTGTTTGAGCGAAGTCTCGGAGCGTCTCAGAGTTTCGGCTTCAGATATGTACTGCTCATTCAACCTTGAGAGTTCTGAGATCCGTGCATTCTTTTCCTTCCGGAAGTTGGTGTGCTCTTCGGCCTTGATCTTCCGCTCAGTCTCTAGCCATTCATTGTTTTTCTGGAGCATTTCAACTTCTTGCTGGAGTGACTGCTCTTTGAATTTCGCACTCGCAACGGTCGCATTTGCGGCCTGCACCTGCAGCTCCAATTGGTTGATTTCTTTTCTGAATTCGGCGATCCTTGAGTGCTGCGTCGAAAGGTCCTCGGAAATATTCTCATACGCGGCATTCTTAGCTTCGAGCAAAGCCAAGGTGTCCCTGTTGGACGCTTCCAGGGAGGAGATACGTGACGTGAGGGTGTTGATTTCGGAACTCTCATTTGCTTTGGCAGCACGGTATTGCTCGAGCTCAGTCTCCAATCTTGAACGTGTATTTTCTGTGATATACAAGTCAGCAAGTCTCGCAAGGGACAGCGAGAATCATCATCATCGTACCCGAAGTTTGCAACTCGACGCGCAGTTTACTTGACTCCGCAAGGGCCTTGTCGCGCGAGTTTTGTAAAACTTTTGCCTTGGACTCACTTGTCCGAACAACGGTCTCGAGTTCGATTTCGAGTTTGACCTTTTGAGACTTGGTCTGCTCAAACTCTTTCACCTTGGCCTCAATCGCGCGAAGAAGAGCAGTGACGAGCTCGGGCGTTGGCTGACTGATGAGGGACGTGAGAGACGTTTCAGGAAGCGAGGAGAAGGCAGAGATGCCCCGAACGTCCACTTCGGCTGCCATCGTGATGATGGAGGGTTTGTAGCGTCGTAATTGTTTCGTCAAGGGCGGAGGAGGGAAAAATGAAGTATAAGTGAAGAATGCGCCCACCACAAGCGCAACTTCAGGGTGAGATGAAAGTCACTTCGGCCCGTCTCACCATGGCGCAAGAAGCTGCCTGCGCAAGCGACGGATAAGAAGAAGAGAGGGAGCGAACGTGGTGAATGGCAAGAGGTGGAATGTTGCAGGGCAAGATGAAATTGGAGATGCACGAGAATGAATCTCTAAACAGAGAGAAGCGGGCGGCGCGGGCAACTGAAAGAACGTGACTTGGGGGCTTTCCCACGGATCTCCTTGTAGGCGTTCGGCTAGCCTGCAGGAGCCTAGTTATGTAAGCCTAGTGGCCCAATCGTTTCACCTGGGGCGTTCGGACTCGCTTTACCTGCGACCCCACCTCTCACCACGCCTATCACCCCGTCTAACTCACATGCATGACTTAACAGCCACAGAGAGGATCTCACATGCTTGATCAGCCTCCTCCAACTTCATCGCTCATTCATATGCTCAGTCTTCTTTGACAGGCTCACTCGCTCTGTCACCTGCTCGCTATTTCGAAATGAGATAGATTCTCCACCGCAAACGGAAGCGGATCCTTTGACTAGGCCTCCCTTTCCCTCCCTCCCTCACGCACGCACCCGCACTCTCATTCCGCCGCAACCAGCGGGAATCACCAAACAAAGAGAAGCACATTCGCACTCTGAATAGCCTCAGCCACTGAATATGACATCCTTCTACGCACCACCGGTGACCGATCCGGCGGGGACAGATGTGCGCACCAACGCTGTGTACGCCGTTGGCCGCTTGCGTGAAAAGTTCCCCGAGCGCATCTCAGCCTCTGACCTGATCACCTTTGTCTTGCCTGTCCAGAGACGCGATGAGACCACTGTCCAGCATTTCCTGGCCGTCCTCAACGCCAACTCAAAAGTCACATATGACAAGGAAACAGACAGCTTCCTGTTCAAGCCGGAGCACAACATCACCGATGCCGACTCCCTACTCCAGTTCCTGCAGAAGCAGGAGACGGCGATGGGGATCCAGGTGTCGAAACTAAAGGATGGCTGGGCCGATGTTGAAGACGCCATTGACAAACTCGAGACCGAGCACCGATTGCTCGTAACTCGCAACAAGAAGGACCACCACCCGAGAATGGTCTGGATCGACGACCCTACCCTCCACGCGCCGTTAGATCAAGAATTCAAGGACCTTTGGAACCAGATCCCCTTGCCGAGCGTCGAGGACACAATCAAAGAGCTTCGTAAGATGAATCACAAGTCTACGGGAGAGCCGGCTCGGACAGATCTGGCAGTGAAACCTAAGAAGGAGAAGAGGAAGGTCCGCAGAGGCCAGAAGATCACGAACGTGCACATGCAGGGTCTATTTAGGGATTACTCGGAGAAGAAGCCAGAGGTGAAGAAATAAGCCGGGACGGTGGCGTTATCATCTTGGTGGCGTTCTGCGATAACAGCACCATGATAATCTGTGCACGCTGATGTTGGGGTTTCTGCCCTTCTTTCCATGCAATGTGCACCTTTTGAGCTCGTCGCCACTCCCGGGGCTGGCCGACCACCAGATCTTTTGCTCTCAACCCAGACTTGCATACAGAAAAGTCACGGCGCTATCAGGCAGGCGTTTCACGCTGGATAGGGACCGGGTGTGCGGACCTGGGCCCTTTGAAGCAGGGAAAATTGAGGACAACCGAAAAAAGGATACCCCCATAATATATCAACCAGCTTTTTTATTAGCGCCTTATAGAGCACGGAATCATAAAGGTGTTGGCAAATAAAAAGAAGTTTTGTACCATGTTCAGAGCATTCAAAGTATTCCATGCCCATACATGAGTAAATCCATTCATTGTTTAGCATACCATACCATACCATGCATATATCAAGATGTCAAGGTATCATATTCGGTGATGTTTCCCCCGGAACTCCGTGCAAGTAAGGCAGTAAGGTAAGTACATACATACATACAGACGTTAACGGTGTGAGTGAGGCATCATCATCCGTCATGCCCGCCGCACTTGACCGCCGTCTCGAAACAGTGAACATTGAACATTTGAACAGGCTGTGTGTAGACGAAAAGTCAATGGCTAACCAAAACATCCAAACAAGAATTTATCGGCCAAACTGCACGGCCCGTCAGCTTTTCGTCTCGACGTTGACGCTGACGTCGACCATGCCCTCTTCTCTGAACCGCGAGATGCTCCGACTCCGATCCCCGTTGACGCTACGCTGGTCGACGCTCAAGGCGCGTGTTCTTGACCCCTGGGCCTCGCTTTGGCTGGTGAGACTGGCCCCGCGTTCCTGGACCATTGATACCGCCGGGTTGTAGTAGCTCGCGGCCTCGCCTTGCGCTTGCGCGGGAAGTCCTCCAGTACTGTTGGTGGCTTCCTCGTACCGCGGAGGCGGGGCGGAGAAACTGGCGACGCTGGCCGGTCGTTGCAGGTTCAGGTTGTTATCGTACCCGAATCCGTCCTGCGTGGAGCCGATGCCGCCGTGGTCAGAGGCGTTGGGATCCCACATCACGATGGCAGGCGCTTCTGCGTTGCCCAGTAGGGACTGGTTTTGGTCGGCCGTGGCGGTATAACCCCCACCACTACTGGCGCCGTATTTCAAGGGGTCGGTTGCTGGCGTGCCAGTTGTGGGGTTGTTGGATGTTGCAGATCGGAGGTTGATCGACCCATTTGCGGCTCTGTTGCGACGGAGTCGAAGGTGTCTGAAGATGAAGAAGCCAACAATGAGCCCAACGATGATAACTGTAATCACTATTCCAATAATTGCCGCTATCGGGATTCCGCTCCCTTTACCTGGGCCTCTGTCGTCGCCGAAATCGCCTGGGCCACCATTGCCACCAAAGCCTTGTCGAGGGAAGAGATTTGAAATGGTGGGTGCCATTGAGTCTGTTGCTCAATGCAATAAGCAAAACAATTCTTTCTGCTAAATTTTTCGAAACAAGCTTTTGCGATTTAGAAACTTGATGGTGTAAGTCTGTACCAAGCGAACTGAGAGAAACGCCTGTCGTAATGCGGATTGAAAGCTAAGCTCTAGAGTCGGTGCTGGGATGATGCTGTGTGGTACACTAGTTGCACTCAGTTGAAAGACAATAGCCGAGACAATGTAGCCAAAGTAGAAGTGAAGAAATGCTGCAGGAGACAAGGGCATGTACTCCTAACTCCTATGTACGTACATATGTTATCGGTGGGCAGTCAAGGGAGAGAAGAGCCAAAGGGAGGGGAGGAGGAGAGTGAGAGACAGCAGCCGAACACGAGGCTCCTTATTTGGTCGCGAGAAATAGATACCACGGCAAGACAAGCCTCCAAAGATGTGTCCGACTCTTCCACGTGAGACTCAGCCGAGCTCCAGCGGAACTCACGAAAACAGCAAACCAGAAAGGCAAAAGCAAGGTGCAAGTAATAGGAATGAAGGAGAGAGAAGAACCATGTTCGGAGAGCGGAGGGGGCCTTAGGATCCAAATCCTAAGCAAATCCCAGGCTCGACTATCTTATTCGGGCACATGCAACATGTCCGGCTTAGCGTGAGGCTGAGACTGGGGGCGATGCGATTTGGTGATAGTGGCTGCTGAAAGCGACACCGTCGGCCTTGTCGAGGCGTCCGTCGAAGATGGGGTTGGCCCGCAGGAGAGACGAGCGCCTGAAGGGGTACGAGGATATTGTTGAACTTGACTGAAGAGAAGCCTGTGGTGGCCTCTTTGCTATCTTGGAAGGTTAGCCAGGGTCCAAATCTAACTGATTGTTTTTTTGCCTGCATTGGGGCGCGGCGTGGATTTCTGAGGACGAGGTTGATCCCGGGGGAGGCAACCACCAAAATTGGTAAAATCCGACACAATTACCCCCCAAGCCTGCGCCTTGCCGCCCGGGGATGGAGGTGTACGAGTCCTCGTAGTCAGAGTGGTTCCAGCCCTGTTATGGAAGGATCGAGCGAGATTGATTCTTGGACAGTCCAGTCTCGAGTCACTTCACAAGGAGAATGTCCTGCGGGTTGTGACAGTCATCTGTATAGTTTTGTTGGGCGAGATTTCATTCCGAGTACTAGTAGGATCGGATGAGGACCAAAACATGGGGAAGCGTCACCAGCGTGAGTTGTAATGGTACTCGTGTTGTATTAGCCCGTGGTGGATGCGACGATGCTATCAAGTGCTGAGGTGAGAAGAGACCGAGAGACCGAGACACAGAAAATGCACAGGAGGAAAAGCGTGTAACAAGCAGGTCAAGCGGCTTGACGTCATCCACAGCTTGGCCTCATTTTGTGTTGGATTTACTACGTGACTGGGATGAAACTGCGCTCCACATGAGGTTGTCGGTTCCATAAGTTCAGTAGATTGCAATCATTCATTGTACGCGATCTTATAAATCCATGTCTAGCAATACGCTCGTGATTCTCGTGTTCAAAATTCTCCATCAATGATGGCCATTAACCCCGTTGGTCACATGCCCATTGCCATTCCTCACCGTCTTCTCCTTCTGCACATAGTCGACCAGGTCTTCGATCGTACAAACCTTCAATCCCCACTTGCGACCGAACTCTAGACACGCATCGCGTCTCATCATACCGGGCTCGCGCATGGCGGCCTGTCCCGAGACAGGCTCTCCGTCATGAACCATTTCGCAGATGACCCCGACTAAGGGCTTGCCCGCTAGGCGACAGAACTCGACCGCTGCTTCGGTGTGGCCAGTTCTCTCCAGGACACCTCCGTCCCTAGCGCGAAGCGGGAAGACATGGCCGGGACGGCGGAAGCTGTCGACGGTGGCTTTCTTGCTGGCGAGGGTGCGGCAGGTCAAGGCACGATCATGGGCTGAAATGCCGGTGGTGACACTCTCGTCATTCGAGTCAATCGAAATGGTGTAGGCCGTACGGTTGGGGTCTTCGTTGTCCACCACCATCTGCGGGAGTGCCAGCTCAACAGCGAGTTGAGAGGTGATGGGAGCACAGATCAGACCGCTGGTGTAGCGGACCATGAAGGCCATCTTTTCGGTGGTGAGATCCTCGGCGGCGATGATCAGATCACCTTCATTCTCGCGATCCTGGGAGTCAAGTACCACAATGAACTCGCCGTTGCGGAACGCCTCGATGGTAGACTCGATGGAGTCGAAGCCTTTGGGCAAATTGCTGGGGGGCTGCATATTTCGTGGGACCTTGGTGAAGCGAGTTTGGCGACTGGAGGAGGAAGTGATGAGCTTTTATGTTCTCGTGAGCAGTCGGTGCTCTTCTTTCCTGTGTGTGTTTTTACTCCTGTGAAAATGGTCTCCTGTCTTTGCGACGTTCCCTCTCTTGGCTTTCCTGCAGCGAAACAAGGGCCACCAGACAGTGCCTGGGACAGCACTAAGTATCCTAAGCGATTAAGTAGATGTAACAGTCCTCCTCCTCACAACCTCTGCAAAAGGCTGATTGTCCGAGGCCGCCGAACTTTTTCTCTTCCTTTTTGTTTTGTTGTTGGTGCAGTCCTTCGTAGAGCGACCGAAGTCTGCAAATCCAAGAGTCCGAGACGGGGCGCAAAAAAAATATGGTCGGCCTTTTCTCTTGTTTCTCTTTTCTTCTTCTTTTAAGACACGGCAATAGATACAATAGACTCCGTACACTGGTTTTTCTTGTCGGATTGGCAGGCCGACGTCCTGTAGATAGTTAGAAAATAAAAAAAAGCACCGGGGGTATCCTGGGTGGGTTTCGTTCACGGAGGCAGCATCGAGAGAGGTTTGAGGGAGGGAGAGGGAGAGAGGAGGGGTGTGGGAAGTCTCGGAATGATATACTGGCGGCGCCACTGGTTGGCAAAACTTCTGGAGAAAGTCGAGAACAACCAACGCCCGCGTCCGGGCAGATGGGTCAGCCTAGAGGCCGTGGCGGTCGCTAATACCGCGGTCCATTTGTCATGTGCCCGTCAAGAATTGGTCAGAAATCTTCAAGCGATGGTTGTTTTTGGTTCGCAGTAGCAGCAAGTCAGCGCAGTCAGTGGTACAGACTTTTGGGGGATGAGGAGTTTTGCCTCGGCCGGAAACACTCGGGCGAGATGCTTCAGGCCCAAAAGCCAAATGGCGAGCGAAAGGGAGAGAAAAGCAACTCCGGTGTCATCCAAGTCACCCAGTCAAGTCTTTAGCGATGGCATTCTTCTTGGTCTGGCACTCTGGGCACCTGCGGGACCGCTCTTCTTTCAAGGACAAGTACGCGAGACCCAAATGCTGTCTGGGTTGTACAACTCCAAGACTCCTAAAGCAAGCAATGACTCCCGCTGAGGAGCCCCCTCCCATTCATTATTCTACCTGAATGCGCTGCCTCCAGTCGTATATTCATAGCCTCGTGCCAAATCAACAAGGGTGTCTATCCATCGCTTGGGCTTGATAATAGTCCATACCCATCATTTCGTCCGCCGCACCGAATCAGTCGGCAAAAACGTCGATTCTCCGACCTCTTGGACCTTTCGATGGTGTCTCGACCTCGGCAATGTCGTCTTCGGCCGGTTCTCGAATGGAGTCTGAATCCCGCCCATAAGAGAAGAACCCTCCATCTCTCACTCGCTGCCAGATCTGTGCCATAAAATTGGACTCGTTCGATTCGGTCACAGGTGCACCCGCCTTGTTTGGTATCACAATTATTGTGTCTGCCTCATCTGAAGGCTGCGCTCCCTGCATATCCCTGTCTGCAGGATTGTTGGGTAAAGGTGGGTTGTCCAGATAGTTATTTATAAATATCTCCCTCTTCAGTTTGCTCCCGGATCGAACCCCTGGTGTGAAAGGCGAGAAAGCAGGCCGCTTTGGTGTTCTTCGCTGAAAACCTCGGACGGGTGTCTGGTCGTTAGCCCTTTCAGCAGTGGTAGGAGGGCCAGGCGTCAAAGGAGAAAATGGTGGGCGGATAGGCGATCCTCGCTTGCTCGGACTTACAACGCCGGCCTCATCTTCTGTCCCTGTCCGATGCGGACTCGTGAAAGGTGAAACTCGGGCTCTATTCGCCTGTGCCAGAGGTGAAAGTATTCCTCGCCCTGGGTACTCGGAAAGTATGGTAGCTTTCTTTGGAGCAGGCGTGTTCTTCCATGGGGTGCTGGAAGAGACTTGTCTGGCTTTTGCAGGACGAGGAATGTCCACAGATATCTTCGTCTTCTTCTGAGGTCTATTCTCCTTCCCATCACATTCTTCCACGGACTTTCGTTTTCTTTTGGGTTGCTGCGACTTCGTCACTGCCAAATCGATCTCGCCTTGCCGGAGCCATAGATCATGTCGGCGTCTCTTCAAATCGTCCACCCAATCGTCGCAGTCTATTGCGATAAAGTCGTCGATGATACCGTCCCACACACTCTCTGCTGGCCGGGTGCGATTGACAAAGATTACCCTTCCTTTGTTATTCTTGTGTGAATGGACAGCTTTTGCAAATTCCCGCACAATCTTCTGGAGCCCGAACACTTTCAGCGACGTTCCCATAATGATCAACACGTCGGGTTGACAGCTGGCGTCGAAAGGGATCAGGGGTGTGAGCAAGGTGTTGGAAGGGTGGTCTTCTCCATAGAGAACGATGTTCGGTCGAAGTGCGCCCACCGCAAGACCTCTTTTGCCGCTCGCTTGTCTTTCGTCACTCTTGTCTCTGCATTTTGGGCAGTCCGCCGCGGCTCCTTCCATATAGATCTCGGTCTGCTCGTCGGTCCAGGGATACTGGGTTGAACACATGGTGCACCGTAGCTTTTCCAAGTCACCATGCAGTTGCACGACTTCGCACCCTCCATCGAAGTCGGTGCCGGCTGTTAACGTAGGACGCGGAGCCCCGTAGTGCTTCTTCATGAACCTGCGTTTGTTTCCTTTCCCGCGTGATAGGTCTGTCACAAGCCCTTCTCTTAGCTCGAGACCATCGATGTTCTGGGTGTAGCACCTCATCAACCGGCCACCGTCGCGTAGTAC